CGTAGAGGAAAGACATGATATTTTAGTACAGTGTAAACACTAATTATTATTATTACTCATTATTATATATATTATTATAAAATATTCATCATTGTTATATATTAAATATATTTTATTTATTTATTTTTCTTTTGAGAGGGAGTCTCGCTGTGTCACCCAGGCTGGAGTGCAGTGGTGTGATCCCCACTCACTACAATCTCTGACTCCCGGGTTCAAGCAATTCTCCTGTCTCAGTCTCCAGAGTAGCTGGAACTACAGGCACATGCCACCACACCTGGCTAATTTGTTTTGTATTTTTAGTAGAGACAGGGTTTTACCATGTTGGCCAGGCTGGTCTCAAACTCCTGACCTCAAGTGATCCACCCACCTCAGCCTCCCAAAGTGCTGGTATTACAGGTGTGAGCCACTCTGTCCAGCCAGTGACTTAATTCTAATAGAGTCTGGCAACAGTGACAGTGTGTGACTTCCAAGAGTAATAATCAACAAAAGACACTGTATAAAAATCTAAAATCTAAAATAAAAAATCTAAAATCTAAGAAAAATTTTGATTTTGCTGTCTTTTTTTTGAGACGGAGTTTCGCTCTTGTTACCCAGGCTGGAGTGCAATGGCGTGATCTCAGCTCACCGCAACCTCCGCCTCCTGGGTTCAGGCAATTCTCCTGCCTCAGCCTCCTGAGTAGCAGGCATGTGCCACCATGCCCAGCTAATTTTTTGTATTTTTAGTAGAGACAAGGTTTCACCATGTTGACCAGGATGGTCTCGATCTCTTGACCTCATGATCCACCCGCCTCCGCCTCCCAAAGTGCTGGGATTACAGGCTTGAGCCACCATGCCCGGCCTCAATTTTGCTGTCTTTTGGATCACTTGTTTTGAAGAAAGCTAGCTGCCATGTTGCAGGATGCTCAAGACATCCTATAGAGAGGTCCACAGGTAAGGAACTGAGGCTCCTGCCAACAGCCAGCATGAACTTGCCAAGAACGTGAGTGAGCCATCTTGGAGGCAGATCCTCCAGCCACAGTCAAACCTTCAGATGACTACTGTCCTGGCCAACATGTTGACTGCAACCTAATGACAGAGCCTGAGCCAGGGTCATTCAGGTAAGTCACTTTCAAATCCCTGACCAATACAAAATTATTAAGACAATAAAAGTTTATTTTCTATTTTAAGCTGCAAACTTTTGGGATGATTTGTCATTCAGCAATAGATAACTAATAGGTTTGGGCACTAAAAGGGGAGTGTTGCTATGACAAACCCTTAAAATGTAAGAATGACTTTGAAATTAGGCAAAAGGCAGAAGCTGGAAAGACTGAGAAGAGTGTTAGTGAAAGTTTAAAATGCTTGGAAGTGACTGTTAGTAAAACCATAGTGGCTTTTTTTTTTTTTTTTTTTTTTTTTCAGATAGAGTCTCGCTCCGCTGCCTAGGCCTCAAATGATCCTAAATCACTAGGATTATAAGTACAAGTCACCATGCCTAGCCATAATGGCCTTTGAAGAGGCAGCCGGTGAAGACTTAAAGGAAAATAAGGAAAATGTGTTTTGAAACTAAAAGAAAGAGGATCCTCCTTACTCAGCAAGTTTAGCAACTGTGTAGTTAGTGTGTAGTAACATGAAAAGTAAAAAATGTAATTAATGAATGGGAAATCTAGCTAAGGAGATTTTCAGGGAAAGTGTTGAAGTTAACACCTGGTTTCTTCTTTGCTGCTTAAAGTGTGAGAAAAGAGAGATAACTAGAAAAAATATATACATATTACTTTAAAAGAGCCAGGAGGCCGGGCACAGTGGCTAGCACCTGTAACCCCAGCATTTTGGGAGGCTGAGACGGCGGGGGGGCAGATCACGAGGTCAAGAAATCGAGACCATCCTGGTCAACATGGTGAAACCCCATTTCCATTAAAAATAAAAAAAGAGCCAGGAATTGTTGGGTTTTAAAATTCTCAGCCTCTCCAGGCAATAAATGATGTTAAATTTTTTAAATAGCTTCTGGGCAAATATCAAATCCAGGGCACTCTCAGGAAAACAAGGTATAAAGAGGAAGCCAAGATTGACTGTAACATGCTTTGTTAATATCAGAAGGATTTAAGGTGGTACTCAGAAAACCATTTAGTCTAACAACATGGTTTTGGGGTTTTTGTTTTTGAGATAAGAGTCTTGCTCTGTCACCCAGGCTAGAGTGCAGTGACGTGATCTCAGCTCACTGGAACCTCCTTCTCCTGGGTTCAAACAATTCTCCTGCCTTACCCTCCTGAGTAGCTGGGACTACATGAATGCACCACCATGCCTGGTTAATTTTTGTATTTTTAGTAGAGACCAGGTTTCACCATGTTGGCCAGGCTGATTTCAAACTCCTGATCTCATGTGATCTGCCCACACTGGCCTCCCAAAGTGCTGGGATTACAGGTGTAAGCCAAACCACCCAGACTAACAATATGGGGTTTTTTTTTGTTTTTTGTTTTTGAGACGGAGTTTTGCTCGTTACCCAGGCTGGAGTGCAATGGCAGGATCTCAGCTCGCCGCAACCTCCACCTCCTGGGTTCAAGCAATTTTCCTGCCTCAACCTCCCAAGTAGCTGGGACTACAGGCGCATGCCCCCATGCCCAGCTAATTTTTGTATTTTTAGTAGAGACGGGGTTTCACCTTGTTGACCGAGATGGTCTCAATCTCTTGATCTCGTGATCCACCCACCTCTGGGATTATAGGCGTGAGCCACCGAGCCCGGCCTCAACAATATGTTTTTTTTTTTTTTTTTTTTTGAGACGGAGTTTCACTCTTGTTACCCAGGCTGGAATGCAATGGTGCGATCTTGGCTCACTGCAACCTCCGCCTCCTGGGTTCAGGCAATTCTCCTGCCTCAGCCTCCTGAGTAGCTGGAATTACAGGCACGCACCACCATGCCCAGCTAATTTTTGTATTTTTAGTAGAGATGGGGTTTCACCATGTTGACCAGGATGGTCTCGACCTCTTGACCTCGTGATCCACCCGCCTCCGCCTCCCAAAGTGCTGGGATTACGCCTGGCCCAACAATATGGTTTTTAAAAAGCTTAAGAGCTATGGTGGATCACACCTGTAAGCCCAGAACTCTGGACGGGGTAGGAAGATTGCTTAAGGCCAGGAGTCCAAGACCAGCCTGGACAACATAGCATGGGCCCATCCTACAAAAAAAATTTTTTTAAATAGTGGGCATGAAAGTATGCACCTGTAGTCCTAGCTACTTGGGAGACTGAGGCAGGAGGATAACTTGAACCCAGGAGTTCTACACTGCAGTGAGCTATGATTGTATTATTGCGCTCCAGCCTGGGTGACAGAGCAAGATCCTGTCTCTAAAACAAAATTTTAAAAAGAAGCTTATGGCTCGGTGTGGTAGCTCACACCTGTAATCCCAGCACTTTGGAAGGCTGAGGAGGGTAGATCACAAGATCAGGAGTTTGATACCAGCTTGGCCAACATGGTGAAACCCCATCTCTACTCAAAATACAAAAATGAGCCAGGTATGGTGGCTGGCACCTGTAGTCCCAGTTACTTGGGAGATTGAGGCAGGAGAATCACTTGAACCCAGGAGGTGGAGGTGGCAGTGATCTGAGATTGTATCACTGTACTCTAGACTGGGTGACAGAGCCAGACTCTGTTTAAAAAAGAAGCAGCAGCTTATGAGTGTTGTCCCTCAGCAGTCTAAACTGAAGCCCAAAGTAGAAGAGAGTTTATCTCAAAGAGATTTGTGAGTATGACTTTTACCTAATGGAGTGAACCCCCAATAAGATTCACTGGAGATTCACAAAAGTTTTAAGAAAATCGTATTGGCAGAAATACTACCAGCTTTGTATTGAAAGAGATAGAGGCAATACAAAATGAGAAGAGGTTTTTGCACCCCTAAACTTCTTTTTTTAATTTTGAGATGGAGACTCACTCTGTCGCCCAGGCTGGAGTGCAGTGGCATGATCTTGGCTCACTGCAACCTCTGCCTCCCAAGTTCAAGCAATTCTCCCACCTCAGCCTCCCCAGTAGCTGGGATTACAGGCGCATGCCACCATGCCCAGCTAATTTTTGTATTTTTTAGTAGAGACGAGGTTTCACCATGTTGCCCAGGCTGGTCTCGAACTCCTGACCTCAAGTGATTCACCTGCCTCGGCCTCCCATAGTGTTGGGATTACAGGCATGAGCCACCATGCCCAGCCTTGACCCCCAAACTTCTACAGCAAAAGTGGGCTGAGAAAACAAAGCAGCCGCATGCATGAAAGGTGGCTCAGAGTGCAGAGCACAAAGAGCCCAAAGCTGGAGCCAAGAGCTATGAGAAATTACACTCAGGCCCTGAGCTCTCCTCAAGGAACAGGCAACCTGTATCCTTCAGTATTTTAGAATTTCTATGGAATAGTGACTACTTCCTATATTTATTTCTCCTTTTTTTCCCCCTGCTACTAAAGACCTCTCCCTTTTGGCGAATAGGATATCTATAGACATTATTCCATGCTTTTCTCACATCTCATCATTGTATGTTGGTGATGGAGGAGTAGGACAGGGAATACAAGTTCTCTTTTTAGTTCACAGTTCTTTAGATCAAGAAGAACTACTCAAGGAGCTGTACATAGGAATTAGTCCAGAAGAACCTCGCCTGGAAGCCTGTTTTAGATGACAAGATTCTGGAGTTCAAGCTGATATTGTAATGGGATGAGACTTTTGAGTCCCTTGAGAGGGTTGAACAGATTTGCATTTCTGAAGGACATGACTCTTTGGGAGCAGAGTGTACACTATTGTAGCCGGCCTTCAGGATGGACCTCAGTGATCTTACCTGTCGATATCTGTGCTCTTGTGTAATCTCCTCCTACAGTGCATAGGCCTGACCTGTGTTACTAAGGGATATTGCAGAACTTATGTGCTTTCTGAGACTGTTAAAAGCATTGTGACTTCCACCTTGCTTTCAGCTGTCGTGTTATGAGGACACTCAAACAGCTTATGGAGATGCTCATATGGGGAGGAACTGAGCCCTCCTGCCAACAGCCAATACCTACTTGCCAGGCATGTAAGTGAGCCTTCTTGGAAATGGATCCTTCAGCCCCAGTCAAGTCTTCAGATGACTGCACCTTCATGAGAGATGCCAAGCTAAGTTACTTCTGAATTATTGACCCACAAAACCTGTGAAAAAATAAATGGTCACTGTTTTAAGCCCTAAGTTTTAGGGCAATTTGCTATGCAGCAACAGATAACTAAAACACTAATATTAGCATCATCCTTATTTTATAGATGGAGAACACTGGACATAGAGAAGTACAAAAGTTGCCAAGTTCATTCAGCTGACAAATGGCGGTACTGGCTAGTTCTGCTTCTCTCATATGTTATCTTTTATACACCCACACCATGCTGTTCATTCAGCACAAACAGAAATCTCTAATTCCTCAATTAAATTTATTTTTATTTTTATTTTTTGTGGAGACAGGGTCTTGCTATATTGCCTAGGCTGTTCTCAAACTCCTGGCTTCAAGCAGTCCTCTGATCTTGGCCTCCCAAAGCACTGGGATTACAGGCATGAGCCACCGTGCCTGGACCCTAGTTATTTTATTTTATTTTATTTTATTTTATTTTATTTCATTTCATTTTATATGGCCTTTCACTCTTGTCACCCAGGCTGGAGTGCAATGGTGAGATCTTGGCTTACTGCAACCTCTGCCTCCTGGGTTCAAGCGATTCTCCAGCCTCAGCCTCCTGAGTAGCTGGGATTACAGACACCTGCCACTATGCCTGGCTAATTTTTGTATTTTTAGTAGAGACAGGGTTTTGCCATGTTGGCCAGGCTGGTCTCGCAATCCTGACCTCAAGTGATCTGCCCACCTCAGCCTCCAAAGTGCTGGGCTTATAGGCGTGAGCCATCTTGCCTGGCCTGATTTTAATTAATTAACTTTTTTCTTTTTGAGATGGGGGACACACCCAGGCTAGGGTGAGGTGGCAGGATCACAGCTCACTGTAATCTCGACCTCCTGGGTTCAAGTGATCCTCCCACCTCAGCTTCCCAAGTAGCTGAGACCTCAGGCATGCACCACCATGCCCAGTTAATTTATTTTTATTTTTGTAAAGATGGGGTCTCCTTATGTTGCCCAGGCTGGTCTCAAACTCCTGGATTCAAGCAATCCTCCCACCTCAGCCTCCATAGTGTTGGGATTACAGGCATGAGCAACTACCCCCAGCCAAGACTGATTTTAGAATATGTATCTAGTGGTGAACTGTGCCAGGTGCTAGTGACGATCACCTCCATGGGTCAGAATCTGGTCAGGTAGACAGTCCATAACAGTTAATTCAATAAAAGAAATTTAACAAAGAACTAGAAAAATATGATGAAATTGCTAAAAGTTCAAAAGGAGACAGTGAGGTATCCCAAATATAAGCAACAGCAAGAAGCTGGAGGAATGAAGAGAGGTGGTGTCACCAGGGCCTACAAAGGCAAGCTATCCAGTAAGAACTAGAACCATAGAAGATACACAACTGGGCCAGGCGCAGTAGCTCACACCTATAATCCCAGCACTTTGGGAGGCCGAGGCAGGTGGATCACGAGGTCAAGAGATCGAGACCATCCTGGTCAACAAGGTGAAACCCCATCTCTACTAAAAATACAAAAATTAGCTGGGCATGGTGGTGCGTGCCTGTAGTCCCAGCTACTCAGGAGGATGAGGCAGGAGGCGGAGGTTGTGGTGAGCTGAGATCGTGCCATTGCACTCAGTCTGGGTAACAACAGTGAAACTCTGTCTCAAAAAAAAAAAAAAAGAAGATACACAGCTGCTACTAAAGACAAAGTTGAGACAGAGGGGAACTGCCCTGGGTCCTCCTTCCCTGCCTCCCCTCCAGTCTTCCACTAGTGCCTCCTGCTGGCTGAACCCAGCCCAAAGTCACTTGGCCAGGGATCCCAGGAAGTGTAGTTTGCAGGAAGAGGCAGCAAAATGAATCTGAACATAGAAGGTAAACGACTAGCATCAATTCTAGAAATTAGCCAGGTGTTAAATTCCTTGCTCTGAAGATTCTAGAATCTACCATGTTTAACAGCAAGGATTCTGATTCAGACAGCTTGATTTATGTCTTGGCTCTTGCATATGCTAGTAGTTTGATCTTGAGCAAAATGCCAAACTGTCTATGACTCAATTTCCTCAATTAAAAAGCGAGGACAAAAATAAACACCTACAGCCGGGTGCGGTGGCTCATGCCTATAATCCCAACATTTTGGGAGGCTGAAGTGGGTAGATCACCTGAGATTGGGAGTTTGAGACCAGACTGACCAACATGGAGAAACCCTGTCTCTACTAAAAATACAAAATTAGCTGGCATTGTGGCACATGCCTGTAATCTCAGCTACTTGGGAGGCCTAGGCAGAAGAATCACTTGAACCTGGGAGGTGGAGGTTGCAGTGAGCTGAGACTGCACCACTGTACTCCAGCCTGGGCAACAAGAGCAAAACTACATCTAGAAAAAAAAGCACCTACTTCCTAGGGTGGTCAGGATTAAATAAGATACTAGAAGTGAAGTGCTTAGAACTGTGCCTAGTGTATGGTAAGTACTCCATAAAAGTTAGATATTATCATTTTAAAAACTAAACATTAGCCAGGAACAGTGGCTCATGCCTATAATCCCAGCCCTTTGGGAGGCTGAGGCAGGAGGATGGCTAGAGGCCAGCAGTTTGAGACTAGCCCGGGCAACATATCAAGACCTCATCTCTACAAATAAATAAAATTTAAAAAATAAACATCTGGGCCGGGCGCGGTGGCTCACGCCTGTAATCCCAGCACTTTGGGAGGCCGAGGCGGGTGGATCATGAGGTCAAGAGATCGAGACCATCTTGGTCAACATGGTGAAACCCCATCTCTACTAAAAATACAAAAAATTAGCTGGGCATGGTGGCGCGTGCCTGTAATCCCAGCTACTCAGGAGGCTGAGGCAGGAGAATTGCCTGAACGCAGGAGGCGGAGGTTGCGGTGAGCCGAGATCCCGCCATTGCACTCCAGCCTGGGTAACAAGCAAAACTCCGTTTCAAAAAAACAATAAAAATAAAAATAAAAAAATAAAAAATAAACACCTGTCCATTTCCCACTACTTTCAATACTTTCCATAGTTACTCAAAGATTTCCAAGAATATTTCCACATTCCCATTCCTAAAGGTACTTGATTCTTTAGGATATGATTTTTATGGGCCTGAACACTGAAACTCATTAAGCTCATTAAAGCTTAAACTCATAAAGACCTAGGCCGTCTTGAATTTTTCCCTTTTTTTTTTTTTTTTTTGGCTTGCATTCACTCTTAAATATTAACTCCCAGTGTCTGCCACAGTGTCTTGCACTTGGAAGGCACTCAAAACTTTACAGAATGAAAGTTTGTTCTACCCTGGTGCCATTCCTTCCTAATGATGATGATTGTCCCCAACAACATAGGTCTTGACTATTTTCTGCAAATTTCAGTTTATTCAGCATTCCAGACCATGGGTTCTCTTCCTGCTTTCTTCACCCCCATCAATAACTCTTCCCATCTCACCACTTTTCCTGCTTCCTTTCCAAACTCCTACTCTCTGATATACCCACTCCCATGGGTACTCCCCATGGCTGTCTGGCGTTTTTATGATTCTGACCTGTCTTTCCAACTAGATTGTAAGGTCCTTGAAGCTAAAGTGAAGTCTTAAGAGTTCCAACCATCCAACAAGAATACAACCAGAGCTCAGCTGAAACCTCTGTGACTGCTTTTAGGACCTTAACATTTTCCATTTCCCTAACCTCTTTGCCCTGCTTCCTTTTGCATCTTCTTCTCACTTTCAGGGTTCTTTTTTTAAAACAGGGTCTCTGTTACCCAGGCTGGAGTGCAGTGGTGCAATCTTGGCTAACTGCAGCCTCAACTTCATGGGCTCAAGCAGTCCTCCCACTTCAGCCTCCCAAGTATCTGAGACTACAGGCGCACACCACCACACCCAGCTAATTTTTGTATTTTTTGTAGAGACAGGGTCTTACTATGTTTCCCAGGCTTATCTTGAACTCCTGGGCTTGTCATTTACAGTCATCCCAATCCCAATCTGCAGGAGATTTGTGAGATTAATTTTAGGATCCCTGAAAATATCAAAAATCTCTGGCTTCCACCTTCATGGTTCTATTCAATCTTCTCATTAATCCTGAGAGCACAGAGAGAGTTAGGGTGAGGAACCAAGGTCCAAGTGGAAGAAGAGCCTTTTTATGGCCAACTCAAAGGTTTCAGGCCCAAGCAAAGCCCTAAAACAATAAATATCATTGGTTGGGCACAGTGGTTCACGCCTGTAATCCCAACACTTTGGGAGGCCGAGGCAGGTGGATCACGAGGTCAGGAGTTCGAGACCAGCCTGGCCAATATGGAGAAACCCTGTCTCTACTAAAAATACAAAAAATAGCTGGGCATGGTGACGCGTGCCTCTAGCCCCAGCTACTCGGGAGACTAAGGCAGAAGAATCGCTTGAACCCAGGAGGTGGAGGTTGCAGTGAGCTAAGATTGTGCCACTGCACTCCAGCCTGGGCGATAGAGTGAGATTCCGTCTAAAAATAAATAAATGTCATTAACAGAAAACTGTTCTGAGGCTGGGTGTGGTGATTCACACCTGTAACCTCAACATTTTGGGAGGCCAATGTGGGCAGATCACCAGAGGTCAGGAGTTCAAGACCAGCCTGGCCAACATGGTGAAACCCTGTCTCCACCAAAAAAATACAAAAATTAGCCAGGTGTGGTGGCACACACCTGTAATCCCAGTTACTTGGGAGGCTAAGGTGGGAGAATCGCTTGAACCTAGGAGACAGAGGTTGCAGTGAACTGAGATCATGCCACACCACTCCAGCCTGGGTGACAGAGACCCCGTCTCAAAAAAAAAAATTTTCTGGTTGGCCTGTTACAGTGGTGTTTACAACTATTTGATCACAATCAGTTACAGATTTCTTCGTTCCTTTTCCATTCCCACTGCTTATTTGATTAGCCTTTAAAATTAATAGGGCCACGCCTGTAATCCCAGCACTTTGGGAGGCCAAGGTGGGAGGATCATGAGGTCAAGAGATCAAGACCATCCTGGCCAACAAGGTGAAACCCCGTCTCTACTAAAAATACAAAAAAAAAAAAAAATTAGCCGAGCATGATGGCACGTGCCTGTGGTCCTAGCTACTCGGGAGGCTGAGGTGGAAGAATGACTTGAACCCAGGAGGCGGAGGTTGCAGTGAGCCTAGATTATGCCACTGTACCCCAGCTTGGTAACAGAGCAGGACTCCGTCTCAAAAAATAATAATAATAATAGGGCTGGGAGCAGTGGCTCATGCCTATAATCCCAGCACTTTGGGAGGCCGAGGCGGGTGGATCACAAGGTCAAGAGATCGAGACCATACTGGTCAACATGGTGAAACCCCATCTCTACTAAAATACAAAAAAAAAAATTAGCTGGGCATGGTGGTGTGCGCCTGAAATCCCAGCTACTCGGGAGGCTGAGGCAGGAGAATTGCCTGAACCCAGGAGGCAGAGGTTGCGGTGAGCCGAGATCGCGCCATTGCACTCCAGCCTGGGTAACAACAGCAAAACTCCGTCTCAAAAATAAATAAATAAATAAATAAATAATAGGGCCAAGTGCTGCTGGATCTCAGACCCTGGGACATGCCTGTAATCCCAGCATTTTGGGAGGCCAAGACAGGTGGCTCACTTGAGGTCAGGAGTTTAAGACCAGCCTGCCCAACATGGCAAAACCCTGTCTTTATTAAAAATTCAAAAATTGGCCAGGCACGGTGGCTCACGCCTATAATCCCAGCACTTTGGGAGGCCAAGGTGGGTGGATCACGAGGTCAAGAGATCGAGACCATCCTGGTCAACAAGGTGAAACCCCGTCTCTACTAAAAATACAAAAATTAGCTGGGCATGGTGGCGTGCGCCTGTAATCCCAGCTACTGGGAGGCTGAGGCAGGAGAATTGCTTGAACCCAGGAGGCAGAGGTTGCGGTGAGCCAAGATTGTGCCATTGCACTCCAGTCTGGGTAACAACAGCGAAACTCCGTCTCAAAAAAAAAAAAAACAAAAATTATCCAGGCATGTTGACAGGCGCCTGTAATTCTACCTACTTGGGAGGCTGAGGCACAATAATCACTTGAATTACAGAGGTCAAGGTTAAAGTGAGCTGACATTGTGCCACTGTACTTGAGCCTGGGCAATGAAGGGAGACTCTGTCTAAAAAAAATAAAATATAAATAAATAAACAGCCTGGGTAAAGTGGCTCATGCCTATAATCCTAGCATTTTGGGAGGCCAAGGAAAGACAATCACTTGGCCCAAGTGTTGAAGACCAGCCTGGGTAACACGGTGAAACCCCATCTCTACAAGATACAAAAAGTAGGCTGGACGTGGTGGCTCACACCTGTAATCCTAGCACTTTGGGAGGCTGAGGCAGGAGCATCACAAGGTCAGGAGATGGAGACCACCCTGGCTAACTTGGTGAAACTCCACCTCTACTAAAAATACAAAAAATTAGCCAGGCATAGTGGCACACACCTATAGTCCCAGCTACTTGGGAGGCTGAGGCAGAAGAATCACAAATACACACATAAAAGATAAAAAAATTAGCCAGGCATGGTGGCACACACTGATAGTCCCAGCTACTCAGGAGGCTTAGGTGGGAGGATCATGTGAACCCAGGAGGTCGAGATTACAGTGAGCCAAAACTGTGCTACTACACTGCTGGCACAGGCAACAGAGTAAGAGTTTGTCTCAAAAAATAAATTAATTAAAAATTAAAATTACCAGACACAGTGGCTCATGCCTGTAATCCCAGTACTTTGGGAGGCCGAGGCAGGTGGATCATCTGAGGTGAGGAATTCATGACCAGCCTGACCAACATGGTGAAATTCATCCCTACTCAAAATATAAAAATTAGCCTGGCATGGTGGCAGGCACCTGTAATCCCAGCTACTTGAGAGGCTTTGGCAGGAGAATTGCTTGAACCTGGGAGGTGGAGGTTGCAGTGAGCCAAGACTGCACCACTGCACTCCAGCCTGGGCCACAGAGCAAGACCATCTCAAAAAAAAAAGATGCAATTCCACTCAACTCCCCCAACCCCACCCCTGACAGTATTTTCCATCTATGAGCGGTTAAATCTTCGCATGCAGAACCTACAGATATGGAGGGCCCTTGGTGCTAGATCTTGGGCAAAATACTTAACTTTTCCGTGCCTGCATTTTTGTACCTTAGAAGTTGGAGGTAACAATAGTATCTACCTCACAGGGTTGTTGAGAGAACTAAAGGAGCAAATACTTGTAAAGTGTTAACTAACATATTTAGTATATACTAAAATAGATCAGTATTTAGTAAAGTGCTTATTTAGATCTGTGCCTGAAAAGTGGAAAAAATAAAAAATTGTTTGCTATTTGTTGTTAATGTTTATTTTTTCACTGAAAATTCTGAGCTTCAATATTGCTTATTAATGTTATCTATTAGTGCCACAGGAAATCAGTAACCCCCAACTCACACAAATTAGAAATACCTCCTGTGACTGATAATAATAGTTGCTACCAGATATGGAGGACTTTCTCTATGTCAGGCAACTTGCTCTCCTTTAATGTTCGTAACAACCTGAAGAGGTAGTTGCACTATCCTAAACCTCATTTTATAACTGAGAAGAACACAGAGGTTAAGTCATTTTCTGGAGGTCACAGCCAGCAAATAGAGTACTTATTCATTTATTTACCATGTATTGACTTCTTCCTGTGTCTCAGCAGGAGAGAAGCCCAGTGGGTACAAAGGTAAACAGTCTAGGCCCCAGCCTACGGGAAGTTTCAGTTTACAGAGAAGGGGCGGGGCGGAGGCAGGAATGACGAACAAATAGTTACCATACCTTGTGGTAATAGCTGTAATAAAGGCTCACTTCAAAAAGTGCTGCTGGATCTCAGACCCTGGGACAAGAAAAGCACAGATAGCTTAGGGCCCAAAGGAAAGACATCACAGTTATGGAATAAGCAGACGTCTTTGACAAACGTGTGACAAACGTGTCCTGTAACGAAAAACGTCTTACACCCCAAGGATTAAACAAAACAGGGTTAAATGTGGAAACCGAAGCTGCAAGTCAAGGGCCCCGTCTGACAAGTCCGGCAGGGCTGGAAAGGAGTTAAGGCGGGCAGGTGGGCGTGGCCCGCGCGTTGATTGGCATGGGTGGGACCGGGCTCGTCACCCTCCCGGGCTACTCCAACCCCTGGGCGGGCGGGGGTACCGCCTGGGCAAGGGTCTGGGCGCCGGGCCGAGACACCTCTCCCCGTCCCCTGCTTTCCGGTCACGTTCCGCCGGCTGGACGCGCTGGAAGAGTGGAGCACTGCCCGGCCGGCCCTCGGGGCTCACAGTCGGCAAAGTTTGGCTCGAAGAGGAAGTGGTCTCAAACCCCGGCAGGTGGCAGCCAGGCCAGACCAGGGGCGCTCGCGGCCTGTGGGCGGGCTGTAGGCGAAGGCGCGCCCCAGTGCCCAGACCTGGGGCTTCGGGAGCCGGCCCCGGGAGAGTGAGCGCAGCGGCGGCTGGAGAAAACAACTCCGAAGTTGGCGAAAGGCACCGCCCCTACTCCCGGGCTGCCGCCGCCTCCCCACCCCCAGCCCTGGCATCCAGACCACGGGTCGAGCCCAGGCCATGGAGCCCCCTTGGGGAGGCGGCACGGGGAAGCCTGGGCGCCCGGGGCTCCGCCGCGACTTCATCGGGTAGACCACAGAAGCTACGAGACTCTTCCGGCACCCCCGGACAGCCCAGGATGCTGTCGGCCACCCTCCTCCTCCTCCTCCTCCTTGGTAAGGTCTAAAACGAGACCACCCCCCAGCCCCGCCCCAGGGCTGTCACCCGGCCAGCAGCTCTAACTCCCTCCTGTGCTGCCCTGCACCCTACCCTGCCTGCCCGTTCCCCCCAGCCCCTGCCGCCACCCCCAGGAAGTCTCCAGCCGCTCCGCTCGGCCCTCGTCCTTTCTCCGGCTTCCCCAGATCACCCCACCAACCCCACCAGCCCCGCTGCCGGACCTTTCTTCCGCGGAAGTCCCACGCCGCAGCCTTCTCCCACCCCCACTCCCTCTTCCTATTAACTGCCCGGAAGTCCCAGATGACTTCCTTGAGTTACTCAGGTGAAGAAAACTACGGGGTCTCACTATCCTGCCCTTTCTCGCTCTTCCTCTAGGAGGCGCTCTGGCCCATGCAGACCGGATTATCTTCCCAAATCCTGGTGAGTTGAGGGAACCTCTGGGGCTCAGTGGGCTTGGGAATGAGGGGGCACACAAGAGAAGGCCTCTCTGTTCCTTCATGGGACCTACCATAGTTTTAGAGGGGAGATCATTTAGCCTTTATTTTATAGATGAGGAAACTGGGGCTTGGTGTGGACCTGCATCTGGTTGGTAGTTGCTATGTACTAGTTTGTTTTTTTTCTGGGAATATCTATGCTTGATCGTCCTAACCATAATGTAGTCTTCCTGAGGGTAGAGGCAGTATTTCCTGCTCATCCTGGTTCAGTGGCTGGCACAAAGCACACCTCAGAATTGTTTGTGGTATTAGCATTTACTGGTGAAGCTATGAAGAAGTGGAGAGAAAGAGCAAAGCCAGACGGCTGTGACTCCAGGATGTGTGTGGGCAGGAGCAGATACTCTGCTCCTACTTGCAGAGCCCAGACTTTTAGAAACCTCAGACCTCCAAGGGGAGGGGGAAGGGTGGCATGCCAAGGGGCTGTCTACTACCAGTGTCCTACGTTCCTCTCTCCAGCTTGTGAGGACCCCCCAGCAGTGCTCTTAGAAGTTCAGGGCACCTTACAGAGGCCCCTGGTCCGGGACAGCCGCACTTCCCCTGCCAACTGCACCTGGCTCATCCTGGGCAGCAAGGAGCAGACTGTCACCATCAGGTGAGAAGGGAGCAAGAACTCATTCTTCTCCCCTGCCCCTTCCCCTTCGTTGGAAGTCTTCAGGGATCACTTCTTTTTCTTTCTTTTTTTTTTTTTTTTTTTTTTTTTTTTTTTTTGAGACAGTCTGGCTTTGTCCTCCAGGCTGGAGTGCAATGGTGTGATCTCGGCTCAACGTAACCTGCACCTCCTGGGTTCCAGCGATTCTCCTGCCTCAGCCTCCAGAGTAGCTGGGATTACAGCACACACCACCACACCCTGCTAATTTTTGTATTTGTAGTAGAGATGGCGTTTCACCATGTTGGCCAGGATGGTCTTGATCTCTTGACCTCGTGATCCACTGCCCGCCTCAACCTCCCAGAGTGCTGGGATTACAGGTGTGAGCCACCGCACCCAGTTCCCCGCCTTGGTTATTTTTTTTTTTTCGAAACGGAATTTCACTTCTGTCACCCACGCTGGAGTGCAATGGTGCGATCTCGGCTCAGTGCAACCTCCATCTCTCAGGTTCAAGTGATTCTCCTTCCTTGGCCTCCCGAGTAGCTAGGATTACAGGTGCCCACCACCATGCCTGGCTATTTTTTATTTTTTTGTATTTTTAGTAGAGATGAGATTTCACCACATTGACCAGGCTGGTCTTGAACTCCTGACCTCAAGTGATCTGCCCACCTCGGCCTGGCAAAGTTCTGGGATTACAGGCGTGAGCTACCGTGCCTGGCTCATTCAGGGATCACTTCTCCATGGAATTTCCATCCTTGTCAACAGGGGAAGAGTAGAATTTGATTTGGCCTAGTGTGCCCTAAAAGCCTGACTTTTTCTGGGCCAGACTCGGTGAATTGGAGCTGGGTTGGAGTGGACACCTAGCTTGGGTTCTGGGTATTTCCAAAGGACAGAGGCCACTCTACAAATGATCCTTGGCTCAGATAGAACTGTTCTGAGGAGTTCTTGCATTCATTGCGTGTCCTGCCTGAGATTCAAAACTACTCCTTAATCAGCTGAGAACATTCCTTAGCTTCTCCAAGTCTTTTAAACATTCCAGCTCTCCCCAGGCTCCCCTGACCTTAGATCATCATCTGGGGACCATGTTAAGTACCTGGCTATTTGCCTCACATAGTTCACTTTCCATGAATTTACCCAGAAAGGAGTAGGCAAAGAGAGGGAAACCTGTGGAGAGGCTGTCAGGGCAAAGGGATCAGAATGCCATGGAGAACCAACCCAGGTCTCACATCTGGCACAGTGGGGTGGGGCAAGATGGTGAGTTCTGGCTAATTGAACTGTATGGTAATCACCAGTTACTGCTGATACCATACTTGAGTGACAGTGCTGCAAGAACTGGAATGCAGTATACTTCCTCTTAAGTCAGTTTTTCCAAAGGGTTCTAGGATGTATCTTATGGTCTTATGGTGATATTGGCCCATGTTAGGAAGATCCCCATTGACTACATTGACTTAAAAATAATTTGGCTGCCAGGAGCGATGGCTCACACCTGTAATTCCAGCATTTGGGAAGGCTGAGGTGGGTGGATTAGGAGTTCAAGACCAGCCTGACCAACATGGTGAAACCCCGTCTCTACTAAAAATACAAAATTAGCTGGGTGTGATGGTGGGCACCTATAATCCCAGCTACTTGTAAGGCTGAGGCTGGAGACTTGTTTGAACCCAAGAGGTGGAGGCTGCAGAGTCGAGATCACGCCATTGTACTCAAGCCCAGGTGACAAGAGTGAAACTCCATCTCAAATAAATAAATAAGGCCAGGTGTGGTGGTTCACGCCTGTAATTCCAGCACCTCGGGAAGCCGAGGTGGGTGGACCACAAGGTCAAGAGATTGAGACCATCCTGGCCAACATGGTGAAACCCTGTCTCTACTAAAAATACAAAAATTATTTGGGCATGGTGGTGCACACCCTGTAGTCCTAGCTACTCAGGAGGCTGAGGCAGCAGAATCACTTGAACCTGGGAGGCAGATGTTACAGTGAGCTGAGATTGCTCCACTGCACTCCAGCCTGGGTGACAAAGCAAGACTCCATCTCTAAATAAATAAATAGACTGAGTTTTCTTTTTTTTTTTGAGATGGACTTTCGCTCTTGTTACCCAGGCTGGAGTGCAATGGCGTGATCTCGGCTCACCACAATCTCCACCTCCTGGGTTTAGGCAATTCCTCTGCCTCAGCCTCCTGAGTAGCTGGGATTATGGGCACATGCCACCATGCCCAGCTAATTTTTTGTATTTTTAGTAGAGACGGGGTTTCACCATGTTGACCAGGATGGTCTTGATCTCTTGACCTCATGATCCACCCACCTCGGCCTCCCAAAGTGCTGGGATTACAGGCTTGAGCCACCGCGCCTGGCCTAGACAGTTTTCATTTGGCCATTTGAATCATGGATAAGCAGATGTTTGTGCTTCCTGGGATACAAGGGGCCTGGTGGCACCAGGGGAGGAGAAAGCTAGCAGCAGTCAAGAGCATCTCACATCCTGGTCTCCTCTATTCCTGTAGATTCCAGAAGCTACACCTGGCCTGCGGCTCAGAGCGCTTGACCCTACGCTCCCCTCTCCAGCCACTGATCTCCCTGTGTGAGGCACCTCCCAGCCCTCTGCAGCTACCTGGGGGCAATGTTACCATCACTTATAGCTATGCTGGGGCCAGAGCACCCATGGGCCAGGGCTTCCTGCTCTCCTACAGCCAAGGTAGGCTGGACAGGGATGTCTGAGGAGGAATGAAAGCCCCAGGCAGGAGAGAAGGATCCTGAGGGCTCTGGTGCTTCACAGCCCCTCTCCATGGTGCCTCTGCAGATTGGCTGATGTGCCTGCAGGAAGAGTTTCAGTGCCTGAACCACCGCTGTGTGTCTGCTCTTCAGCGCTGTGATGGGATTGATGCCTGCGGCGATGGCTCTGATGAAGCAGGTTGCACCTCAGACCCCTTTCCTGGCCTGACCTCAGGGCCCATCCCCTCCCTGCCTTGCAATCTCACCTTGGAAGACTTCTATGGAGTCTTCTCCTCCCCTGGATATACACACCTTGCCTCAGTCTCCCACCCCCAGTCCTGCCATTGGCTGCTGGACCCCCATGATGGCCGGCGGCTGGCCGTGCGCTTCACAGCCCTGGACTTGGGCTTTGGAGATGCAGTGCATGTGTATGATGGCCCTGGGCCCCCTGAGAGCTCCCGACTACTGCGTAGTCTCACCCACTTCAGCAATGGCAAGGCTGTCACTGTGGAGACACTGTCTGGCCAGGCTGTTGTATCCTACCACACAGTCGCTTGGAGCAGTGGTCGTGGCTTCAATGCCACCTACCATGTGCGGGGTTACTGCTTGCCTTGGGATAGACCCTGCGGCTTAGGCTCTGGCGTGGGTGCTGGCGAAGGCCTAGGTGAGCGCTGCTACAGTGAGGCACAGCGCTGTGATGGCTCATGGGACTGTGCCGACGGCACAGATGAGGAGGACTGCCCAGGATGCCCACCTGGACACTTCCCCTGTGGGGCTGCTGGCACCTCTGGTGCCACAGCCTGCTACCTGCCTGCTGACCGCTGCAACTACCAGACTTTCTGTGCTGACGGAGCAGATGAGAGACGCTGTCGGCATTGCCAGCCTGGCAATTTCCGATGCCGGGACGAGAAGTGTGTCTATGAGACGTGGGTGTGCGATGGGCAGCCAGACTGTGCGGACGGCAGTGATGAGTGGGACTGCTCCTATGCTCTGTCCCGCAAGGTCATCACAGCAGCAGTCATTGGCAGTCTAGTGTGTGGCCTGCTCCTGGTCATCGCCCTGGGCTGCACCTGCAAGCTCTATGCCATTCGCACCCAGGAGTACAGGTCAGTGGGAGTGGGGCTGGTAATAGAGTAGAGCCTGAGGGTGAGACTGGGCCATACAGCTACAGGAGACCATGAAAGCCACCTTGGGGAGAGGTTCCCATGATCAGCTTGTCAGTTTTCTCCTGTAAGGGACAGGTCCAGATCCTGAAAGCAGTCTCAAGGGAGGAGGGACCTCAGATGACCTTTGGGAAAGCCATGGCACAGCTCCAGCCAGCCTGGCCCAGGTGTGGAAGGGGGAGGACTGTCCAGGCTGGGGTGGTCTACTCTGGCTGAGAACTACCAGTGACTAAGCAGTCCTCATTCCTTCTAGCATCTTTGCCCCCCTCTCCCGGATGGAGGCTGAGATTGTACAGCAGCAAGCACCCCCTTCCTATGGGCAGCTCATTGCCCAGGGGGCCATCCCACCTGTAGAAGACTTTCCTACAGAGAATCCTAATGATGTAAGTCACTCCCCACAACTCTAGCACCTCCTGATCCCACTTCTACTGTGGCCCCGCCCCTGTACCCTCCTTCATTCAGCCTTTGACCCTCTGACTCTGAGGCCTCCTCATCTCCTTGCAGAACTCAGTGCTGGGCAACCTGCGTTCTCTGCTACAGATCTTACGCCAGGATATGACTCCAGGAGGTGCCTCAGGTGCCCGCCGTCGCCAGCGGGGCCGCTTGATGCGCCGCCTGGTACGCCGTCTCCGCCGCTGGGGCTTTCTTCCTCGAACTAGCACCCCAGCTCGGGCCTCTGAGGCCAGATCCCAGGTCACACCTTCCGCTGCTCCCCTCGAGTCTCTAGATGGTGGCACAGGTCCAGGCCATGAGGGTGGGGCGGTGGGTGGGCAAGATGGTGAACAGGCACCCCCACTGCCCATCAAGGCTCCCCTCCCATCTGCCAGCACGTCTCCAGCCCCTGCTACTGTCCCCGAAGCCCCAGGGCCACTGCCCTCACTGCCCCTAGAGCCATCACTATTGTCTGGAGTAGTGCAGGCCCTTCGAGGCCGCCTCCTGCCCAGCCTGGGGCCCCCAGGACCAACCCGAAGCCCTCCTGGTCCCCATACAGCAGTCCTGGCCCCGGAAGATGAGGATGATGTGCTGCTGGTGCCACTGGCTGAACCGGGGGTCTGGGTAGTTGAAGCAGAGGATGAGCCACTGCTTACCTGAGGGGACCCAGGGACTCTACTTGGGCCTCTCCCCTGGGGGCACTACTTATGGTAGCACAACCCTTTAGAGGGTGGGTCAGCCTCCCCTCCACCACTTCCTTCCCTGTCCCTGGATCTAAGGGGACTGGGTAGGCCTCCCGTTGACCCTGTGTAGCTTCTGTAAAGTTAGGTGTCCTTCAGTCAGGGAGAGGGCTCACAGAGCCTCCTCTGTACACAGCCAGAGACCCCAGTCCCTTTACCACCACCCGCTTCCCACGCCACCACCATTTGGGTGGCTGCTTTTAAAAAGTAAAGTTCTTAGAGGATCATAGGCCTGGACACTCCATCCTTGCCAAACCTCCACCCAAAAGTGGCCTTAAGCACTGGAATGCCAATTAACTGGAGACCTTTCAGCCCCCAAGGGGAGGATTTGGGCAGAATCTGAGGTTTTACCATCCGCAATCCCTCCTACGGGGTCTGGCTCACAAAAAGAGAGGAACAAAAGCTTCTGTTCCATAGCTATGGCATTGCTCAGTCAGTCGAGGTCAAAAATAAAGGAATCATACATCTCAAAATTTTGCAAATTAGCTGTGAGCCTGAGCCCCGCCTCTGCCCATCTCATTCTATGCTCACTCATCCCGCTTCTCCCTGTGGAAGCCGTCGCTTGGCCCTCTACCTCCTCCCCTCTTCCTGTTTATCTCCCAACCACTGCACTCTTGATTTTTAAACCACACAGAAGGTAAGAAAATGCCTGAGGCCCAGCTCTGCGGTGACTGACTCCAGGGGTGTGCACCAAGCCTCTTTCCTAACAGCCAGGATAGAAGTCAGGGGAGTCAGGTGACAACCTTTCTGAAGTCAGAAAGGTTGTCATTTATGGAGCATTCCCCAAGCACGGATCATAGGAGCAACTGTCCCTGGTGGGATACAGGAGTCATGACTCCTACCCTCTACCCTCCTTGCCCACCAGGCATTTAGCAGTCTGTCCTATGAAAGACAGATGAATTCTCAGTCAGGATACCTCAAAGCAGGCAAAGATGAGTGGAGGGAAAATTCACAAACATTCAGGGTATGAGGTGCTGGCATTCCCATGGCCAAATCCAAGAGGTCTGCTTGGAAGAGGGCCCAAACTGGATTCTAAAGAATGCTGTTGGAATAGAGCTGTGAATTCCAGGCAGGAGGAGTGTCCACAGGTCAAGCAAACTGAAGAGACAAGAGAGCAAGGGCTGTAGGCGAGACCCTGGGCCTGAGAGCACAAGCAACAGCCAGAGCTGCAGAGCTGGGGGCAGGGTCGGGGCGGGGGGGCAGGTAATGGAGGGAATGATTTGCAAGCAGTGTTGGAACCCAGCCCCTAGTCAGCAAAGTGACAGAAGCTGCCTGAGTTTGGAAGGAAAATCGAGGCAAAAGACATAGGAGGTTGGATGGGAGTGATGCTTCAGGAACAAAGCTGAGGAATTCCCTAATGGAGTCAGTCCCTTGGGATAGAGGCTCCCCGCGGGCTCTCCTTGTCTAGCCCCATACCTAGCGAAGCCTGTTACCCAGCCTAGCCCCACACCTGGTGGTGAGGCCCTATTGATTACAGCCTGTCAGCATCCTCAAACCCAGCACTAACTGCACAATTTTCCTCTCTCCTAGTGAGCAAGAGCCCAGTGAAGTAGCAGAGAGGGGTGTGGGTCCATGTGCAGTTCTGGGACCCTGGCACCTTGGCTCAGGGAAGATCTGAGCTCCTTTCACTGCAGACCCTCTCCGGAGACTGGGGAGTGGGCTCCAGAGAACCTGGTTCTTGCTTACGTTCTCCCTTTGAGCCCTCCTTCCTAAGTACAAACAGTCCTGGGTCCACTCAACATCAGGCCCAGTGTAAATAATGAAACAGTGATTCTCCCTCCTCTGCCTCTCCATGGCCTGGTCTTTGCCCTCTCCTTTGCTCTTCTCTTCCCCATAGCCACTCCATTACCTACAGCCTGATAGTCTTCATCCCTTTATCCAGACCTTTTCTCTCCTTGTGGTATTGCAAACTGAAAGTGGACAAAGACTTCAGGTAAAACTGCTCCTTGTGGTGGAACGCTTCTGAATGCTGGAAGGAGGACTTAGGGCAGAGTTCACTAGGGAGGCCTGTGCTTATAGATCAGTGGGCCTGAAAGAAGTTTCTTTAGTTTCTAGGTGTGTGCTGTACAGGGTGTAGGCAGTAATAATACTCTTGTCAGCCATAGTGAAGCCCCAAGGTAGCCGGGATAGGGGACTGACCTTATACAGGCAGCATGGGGAGACTAAGACAGAGGGTCCTGCCCAAGTGATGGCACTGGGGAGCAGTCACTCAGGTTTATTTCCACCAGGGCCCAAGAAAAAAAGCAATGAGGCATCTTAAAATTCTATTAAGATAGATACCAATATCCAAGGTGCTTGGTCTCACGAGTGTAGGACCCACATTAAGGCTCTTGGTGGGAAGGAAGGAGGCGTTTTCAGCATGAGATAGGAATCAGGCTCTGAATCAGAGTCTAGAATCTAAGATAAAAGAAGATACCAGGGCTGGGAGTGGTGGCTCACACATGCCTGTAATCCCAGCACTTTGGGAGGCCAAGGTCTGATTGCCTGAGCTCATGAGTTCAAGACCAGCCTGAGCAACATGGTGAAACCCTGTCTCTACTAAAATATAAAAAATTAGCTGGGCATGGCGGCATGCACCTGTAGTCCCAGCTACTCGGGAGGCTAAGGCAGGAGAATTGCTGGAACCCAGAAGGCGGGGGTTGCAGTGAGCTGAGATCACGCCACTGCACTCCAGCCTGGGCAACAGACCAAGGCTCCCTTTCAAAAAAAAAAAAAAAAAAGATACCAGAACTTGGTCCTTAAGAAACAAAATTCTGCCGGACACAGTAGCTCATGCCTGTAACCTCAGCACTTTGGGGGGCCCAAGGCAGGCAGATTGCTTGAGGCCAGAAGTTCAAGACCAGCCTGGGCAACATGACAATACCCTGTCTCTACCAAAAATACAAAAACTAGCTAGTCTCATAACCTGGTCTCAAAATAAATAAATAGATTTTTTTAAAAAAAGGAAAGGAAATCACGGGCCTGAACCAAGCTCCAGGCCTCACTGGGAGGGAAGAAGGACCCGCAGCCACACAGCCTAAGGCTGCGGAAGCACCAAGGTGGTTAAAGAGTGAGTGTCTGTTTAGGCAAAACCTGCTATTGACATTTTTAAAAGAAAAAAAAAAGAGTGAGTGCCTGATGATGCCAGATTCTTCATCACCTGAAGTGAACCCTCACAACAGAGCTGGGCCGTAGGCATCATAATCCCCATTTCGCAGGCTCAGGAGGAGCTTCAGGGAAATCCGAAGATTGGCCCAGTCTTTACCAGGTGGTGGATTTAGACCTGGCAATGGCTCCATTCCAAATCTCACCCTTGTCCTACTATTCCACAGAACCTCCGATTCCTGAGGGAGCCTGGACACAGGCAAATGCTCAGCCCGGGTGGTTGAGGTTACAGTGAGCTATGATCGCACCACTAGTCTAGCCTGGGCATGGGCAACAGGGAGAAAACCTCTCTCTGAAAAAAATAAAAATACTCATTTTGGAAGGAAGTAATTCTAAAATGTTACACTTGCCTTCAGCATATCTGCAATATAATAAAATTTTCTGAATAGCTGAGGATCGTTCATAGAAACCAGTGGCTTTTCTCCAGCAGTGTCTCCTGACACTGTAGGAGTAGGAGTATGGGGAGCTATTTGCTTTTATGCTAAATGACCTCAGACCACTTATAAAATGCATATGAGTGCATTAAATGTTTTTTTGTGTGCGGTGTTACCTCCCTGGTTACCACGGGTCACTTGCTACTCTAAATGTGTTTCTAATCTACTAATACAGGAACACACATGGACACATTAAAATTGTGAATAAAAGTAAGGATAAGTAGGCCATGATTTAGGACTGGAGAATCTACCCAGTGAGTAAAATGTATGAATATTTTAGCTGCTAAGGGGTCCTTTCTGGTCTGTACTGTTGCCCTGTAGTTGACCTCCAGATAAGTGAACTGTCACTGCATATTGTTCCCAAGATGATTATTTGCCTCTTCCATTGGAAAAGGCTGCTGAGGATTGCCGTATAGGCTGTTCCCAATAATAGAAGACAGTTGGAATATTTAAGAGAAGGAAAGAAGCATAGTGTAGAAATAAAAAATCTTTGGCACTGGAAAGATGTGGGTGGGATTCCTGGTGTTCCCATTTTCCAGCTGCAGGATTGCTTTAGGGACAGGCCACCCACCTACCATGTGAGCCTTGGGGTCAAGAAGATGAAAGGAGGTAATACAGGAAAGTGCTTAGCACAGCATCTGGCAAAAATGGGGCAAGGAAAGGAAATCAGAATGTGTTTTTGGGAGCTTAAGTGTGTCAGGAAGGAGGACAAGCAGGAAAGGGGCAGGAGAAGAAACCTGAAAGGAAAGGGAACTGGGCAGAAAAAGAACAGTAAGATATGTGCTGTCTGGGCTTCCTCAAAATAGCCAGATATCATCCACTGTGTATCTGCCTTGCATAGTCCAGAAGGCCTGGCAGCTTCACCAAAAAACATTAACAGTGGGGTAGGGGAGTTGGGAAGTAGCTGGTGCTCTCCCCCTGCCCCACTTAAGATTGGGAACTTTGTGTTTGAGATAGGTAGCTTTGTCTGGCCCTTTTATCCTGCTCTGATTATTGTTCGCTTGGTGGGCCTGGCAGGGAGAGAAGGTGGAGGAGCCTCCACAATGGTTTGCTCCTACCTGAACTTAGTGGTAAAATGAAGCTGCCCAAATGAAGCAGCTGTGTTTCCTTCCTTAGAGCATCTGCCTAGAGGCTGGGAAATGGGTACTTTTGTGGCTCTTGGCCCAGAAGAAGCAGGGTAGAGAAGGAAAAGGTGGCAGGGTGGCTGTGCCTCAGTTCCCACACTTCTTTTGGCCTGTATCTCGTTTTTCAACCCAGCTTTTAGTCTTTCTGCCTCTTCCACCTGTGCAGCCACTGAGCACACTCTTTAAGCTGGACACTGGGCTAGTGGGCTGGAAATACAAGAGACAAATGATGCATAGTCCTGGCTGCTGGAGAAGGACCTTCACCTCCTGTGGTCCCTGCCTTCTCCCACCCTCAGCTCCCTTACCCATGACACCCCCCAGCAACCCTTGTCTGTTCTGCCCCCTCACTGTTCTGTCCTGCCTCAACCAGGCTCTGCAGTGTGTATGCTCCCAGAGGGAAGCGACACAAAGGAAAGGGAGGGGGGGCGGAAAGGAGGGAATCCCGCTGACATCACTGCTCATTAGCATGTGTGACCTCATCAGGGGGCGGGACAATTTCCCCAGGTGTCTTGCGGGGAGGGCAAGTGTGTTGGGGGGTGGTATTTAAAGGGAAAAGCTGACAGTGCTGCTGAGTGAGGGAGCGGGTGCTGAGAGCCGCTGGGCTGCACACGCACACGCACACCGATGCACACGGACCTGGACACCAACATGGACATGGACACAGAAACCACAGCACTCTGCCCCTCTGGCAGCCACCGGGCCTCCCCTCCAGGGACACCCACACCAGGTGAGGGATAACCTGGGCAGGTTCTGGCTGAAACCATGGGGGTGGGAGCCGAAGCTTTGGTGGGGAGGTCAGAACAAGGGGTTAAGGGAGCTTGAGCCCAGTCTGCAAGAGGAGAGCAATTGAGAAAGTGGAGAAGACCCCTGCTCACACAAGGATTGGGATTAGGCTAGGGTGGAGGGGAAGAGCTGCCTAAATGCCCCCTCCCCCATCACTCCCAGGGCTCTGCTTGAGAAACTGGTATATGGCCCCCTAGCTCGGCCTCATTCCCGAAGCTGGGATGGGCAAGAAGGAAGGGGAGAAGAAAGGGGCAGCCCCCAAGCCTGTGAATCACAGGCAGGGGGCTACCCTGGGGACCTGTTGTAAGGGTTCTTCTGGCTCCTGGAGGCCCTGGCTGCTGGCCAAGTATTGATTCTGGGCTATTTCCAGCCTCCCTCCAGCCCCCTTTGTTGTGTCTGTTGTTCCTCCTCCAGTTACCCTGACCCGCACGTTGTCACTCTCCCTTTCACTCACACACACACCCTCTCTAATGAACACAATATTCTCTCCCACTCACAGGGACAGACAGGAATGCAGGATTCTCACACCCAACCACGCACTGAGGGATGCTTACCTATAGGGCCACGGGAAGCAGCAGCCCCCGTCTCTCTCTCACACACACTGAGCCCACAGAGACCCAACATGCACATCATCTCAAAAAGCAAAGGCCCTTTCCTAGGAAGAGGCTCGCTACAAAGTTTTTTACTCTGCTATACCTACTCCCCAGACACTAGGCAGCAGCTTCAGCTTCTCATCCTCTCTGCTTCTCCTCGATTTGGGAGTTACCAGTGCCGGAAACAGGAGGAGGAAGGGCCTCTTGGTGGAAAGAGAGGCAGCTTACCCTAATCCCTGCTGCACCCCACAGGGACAGAGGCCTAGTCTAGGGGTGTGCCTGTGTGTCAGTGTAAAGTGTGAGTGGATGTGTGAGCCTGCATTCAGGTCCCTTCCCTGCATGGGGCACATTTTGACTAGGTTGGGTTGGGACCACATTGGAGAAGCTATCATGTTGGCTTCAGTTCAGGCTTCTGGAGACTTTAGTGTAAGAGGTCAGGCCAGAGATTCTCAGTTACTTCTGGGTAATGGTCATCAAGTGGGTATGGCTGGGCCTCTGATGCTGGAACAGCCTGGATTGAGCCTTCTGCAGATGGCTGGGCATATCCCACTCATAGCTTTCTTTTCTTTGCCCTCCCACCCCACCCCACCCCAGAAGCAGATGCCACATTGCTGAAGAATCCAGAGAAACTGTTGGCAGAGTTGGACCTGGGCGGGCTACCCTCTGCCCCTGGGGCTCCCAGACGAAGAGGCAGTATGCCTGTCCCCTACAAGCACCAGCTCCGGCGGGCCCAGGCTGTAGATGAACTTGATTGGCCACCTCAGGCCTCATCCTCTGGCTCCTCTGACTCATTGGGCTCAGGGGAGTTACCCCCTGCTCAAAAGGATGGCATCTTCAAGGTCATGCTAGTGGGGGAGAGTGGTGTGGGCAAGAGCACCCTAGCAGGCACTTTTGGTGGTCTCCAGGGAGACAGTGCTCATGAACCGGAGAACTCAGGTATTTGGGGAAGCCCTGCAGGGGTTGAGGGGGCTCTGGGGCCCTGGTCAGGGAAGGAAGTGCTGATGACCTGAGCAGCCCCTGGAGAACAGAGCTTAACAGAAGCTTCTCCAATGCTTTCTATGGCAGCCTCCCTAAAGTGGGGGCAGGGGGGCAGGACGGTTTCTCTGGTGCTGAGATCTGAGGTGTCCCTGGTTACCAGGTCTCACAAATGTTGGGGAACCTCCTAAGACTTTATTCCCTCTCCCTGTTTTCCAACAGAGGATACCTATGAGAGACGCATCATGGTGGATAAGGAAGAAGTGACTCTAGTTGTTTATGACATCTGGGAACAGGTGAGAACTAAGATGTGGTTGCAGGCAGGTGATGAAGCTGGGAGAACAGGGGAACAGCAAAGTCTGGCTGAAGGTTGCTGACTGCTGGTCCTGGTTTCAACATATACTGGAACCTGAGCTTTTGTTCATATCACCTCAGAAAGCAAAGGCCCACACCAATGTTCATACCACAGCCCGTGGCCATTAAGAGCCACAGTCTTTCCAGAATCTTCTGACCCAGAGGAAACTTAGGATGGGAATTTGACAAAACCTGCAGCTGCAAGCTAGGCTGGACATCCTGAAATTTACTCCATCCATAAATTTTTCAGCCTGAAGGAATCTGATGTGACAGGACAAGTGCTCAGGGCTCTGGAATATCAGGGAAGGGGGGAAAAAGTGAAGGCTTCTTAATATTTGGACACAAAGGTTACCAGGTAGAAATAAGAGGCCAAATGACAGACATGTGAATAATATTCATTTTTAAATCAAGAGCTTAAGCTTAAGAAATCAGGATGGCTACCCTAGTCTAGGACCTTCACATTACCAATTTCTCCCTCCTCCACAAACACTCTGGGTATGGAGATTCTGCTATTAACTAGCTCTGCTGTCCTAAGCAGTTGACTTCCTTCTCCCTCACAGCCCAGGATCAGAAGATCCCTCCAGCCCTAACATTTCTCTGCCTGTCTGCAGGGAGATGCAGGAGGGTGGCTGCGGGACCACTGCCTTCAGACCGGGGACGCCTTTCTCATCGTCTTCTCAGTCACTGACCGACAGAGCTTCTCCAAAGTTCCAGAGACCCTACTTAGGCTCCGGGCTGGGAGGCCGCACCACGACCTACCAGTTATCCTCGTTGGAAACAAGAGCGACTTGGCCCGCTCCCGGGAGGTATCACTGGAGGGTGTGTATACTGAACAGATTCCATACTTGAGATCTCCAGGGACCCTTCCAGGTCACCTCTTCTCCCTAAGGCCTTTTTACCATCGCTGGTGTACGAACCCCCTTGCAATTAGTCCCAGACTAAGGGCAGACTCCCAATGCCCCACTCAAGGACCCTGAGAATCCCTTTTTGTGACTTCCCCTCACCTCTCTCCAAGGCCCACTTCCTCTCCTTCGCACCTCTACCACTTTATTCTCTCGGTTCCAAGATTCGCTAGTACCAATATCCTTTCCAACCACAAGCCCAGGCCCTCCCCCGTACAGGCACCCCACCCCCACCACCCCGTACAGCATAGCGGGCGCCTGAGCCGGTCCCTTCCCGCAGAAGGCCGCCACCTGGCCGGGACGCTGAGCTGCAAGCACATCGAGACGTCGGCCGCACTTCACCACAACACGCGGGAGCTCTTCGAGGGCGCGGTGCGCCAGATTCGACTGCGGCGGGGCCGGAACCGCGCCGGGGGCCAGAGGCCCGAGCCGGGCAGCCCCGAGGGCCCTGCACCGCCAGCACGTCGCGAGAGCCTCACCAAGAAGGCCAAACGGTTCCTCGCCAACCTGGTGCCGCGCAACGCCAAGTTTTTCAAGCAGCGCTCCAGGTCGTGTCACGACCTCTCGGTGCTCTGAGCCGCGGTCGCCATGGCCACTGCGGTCGCCATGGTCACCGCGCCCTCCGTCGACCCCCTCGCCTCGCCCCGCCCCCGTCCGGCTTCCCCAGTGGAGGCCGTCTAAGAAACCAAAAACTCCCAGGATGCCCCCGGCGGTCCGAGTCCGCTGGGCGGCACCTCCACGCCCGCCCCCAAGCGTTCTCCGAACCTTCGGGCCCCAGGGCGCCTAGAAGGCGAGGACGCAGACCTGAGGGCGGCCGGTGAGCGGGGCGGGTTCTGCTGGGTCGGGAAGAATAATAATTCTGCAAGGTATTTTGTTTTTTATTAATTCGCTCTTGGCCACCTCGTCTGTAAAGAGATACTAAAAGCGAGGTCTTGAAAAGTGCTTTGTAGACTCCTTGACGGAGTTTGCCTCCTTTGTACGCTGCGTGAACATGCCTCACCTTTAAGAGAGTCTTAAAGGTAAAGACACGGAGACCCCCACCCCCACCCCCTTCCAAGGACCTTCCCGAAAACCTTCCGGCTCTCATCTACCGCATTTGTCCACTTTGCCTTTAAGGAGTTCTTAAAGGCAAGGGCCTGGAAGCGCTGTTCTTGAGACTGATTCTCTGATTTACCAGTCCACCACCCCACTTCCCCTTTAAGGTTATTAAAGGTAAGGGGTGGACAGACTTTCTGCAGTCAGATGCTGAGCAGGGGCAACCCCTTTTAGCCAGGGCCCAGGAGGCACCAGCAAGGGGCCACCCTTTTTCCCTTTTCAATAAATAATTTTTGTACTGCATCTGTTTACTTTTGACGGTTCTTGGAATTTCCGGGGAAGGGATGGGTGTTGATGGAAACTGTATTACCCACAAGAAAACTCAACCGCTGAAGGAACCTAACTCTCTGAGGAGGCTCTGGAACTGACTTGGCCTGGGGTAGTCCGTATCAAAGGGCCATAGGCCGTTACAGATAATCAGGTCCACTTCGTGTGTTTGCCAGTGAGGGAACAGGGACCTCTAAAAGTCATTTGTAAATGAGTGACACAGTGGGACCAAGTCTCCAGACTGAGCCTCATCTCCTTACTCCACTATATCCTGCAGGGAACAGGCTAGAAGTTACATTTAGCTCCCAGAGGTACTCAGCTTTTACTTGGGCTGGTTCATGGTGGGGCCCCTATCCACCAGGGAGGCCCATCAGCTGGGGCGTGATGGGGTCCGCCTGCACCTCCTCTGGCAGGGCCCCACAGCCCCAGCTGTCACCTGCAAAGCCCGTGTGAGTACTGAAGCTGTCACTGCCTCCCCTGGGGACGCCCACGCCTGCTGCTGCCTGAGCCATAAGTTTGAACAAAGGAAGCAGAGACAGCAGCTCCTCTCACCACCCCTAGACATATAATACAGCTACCTGAGCACCCGAGGGCCAGCCTCCACTCCACCCCACACAGCCTCCCAGAACTTGATGGAAAGACGGTTGCAATGCCTCCTGAGTCCTTGCAGCTGGGGAGGAGCCAAGGGGACCAGCCCAGCATGGGTAGTTGTAATAAGATGAATAATGGCACTATCCTTAGGACTTTATACACTTTATCTGTTAATTCCTTAAAGACTATATAAGGTCCAGCGTGGGAAACATAGTGAAAGCCAGTTTCTACAAAAAATATAAACATTGGCCAGGCATGATGGCTCACATCTGTAATCCCAGCACTGCTGAGGCAGGAGGACCATTTGAGCTCAGGAGTTTGAAACCAGCCTGGGCAACATGGTGAGACCCTGTCTTTACAAAAAATTAGCTGGGTGTGGTGTCATTTGGGTAATCCCAGCTACTTGGGAGGCAGGGCTGGGAAGATCACTTGAGCCAGGAGGTTAAGGCTGCAGTGAGCTGTAATTGCACCACTGCACCACAGCATGGGCAACAGAGCAAGACCCTGTCTCAAAAAAAAGAAAAAAGAAAAAAATCAGCACACTTGTAGTTCTAGCTACTTGGGAGGTGGGAGAATTGCTTGAGCCTAGGAGTTCAAGGCTGAAGTGAGCTGGAATCACTGCATTGCAGCCTTGGTGATAGAAAGAGAACTTGTCTCAAAAATAAATAAATAAATAACTGTATAGGCCAGGTGCAGTGGCTCATGCCTGTAATCCCAGCACTTTGGGAGGCCAAGGCAGGTGGATTACCTGAGGTCAGGAGTTCGAGACCAACCTGGCCAACATGGTGAAACCCCATCTCTACTAAAAATACAAAAAAATTAGTTGGGCATGGTTGTGTGTGCCTGTAGTCCCAGCTACTCAGGAGGCTGAGGCAGAATTGCTTGAATCCAAGAGGTGAAGGTTGCAGTGAACCAAGATCTCACCTTTGCACTCCAGCCTGGGTGACAGAGTGAGACTCCATCTCAAAAAAAAAAAGGCTATCTAAGGTATCTTATTTAATAGTAGAGGAAACAAGAGTGTAAGTAACTTGTCTGAGGTTACCCAGTAAGCAACAGAGTTGGGATTCCATGTCTGCTTGATATTTTTTTTTTTTTTCTTGAGATGGAGTCTTGCTCTTGTCGCCCAGGCTGGAGTGCAACGGTGCAATCTTGGCTCACTGTAACTTCCACCTCCTGGGTTCATGTGATTCTCCTGCCTCAGCCTCCCAAGTAGCTGGGATTACAGGCACCCGCCACCACTCCAGGCTATTTTTTTGTATTTTTAGTAGAGACGGGGTTTCACCATGTTGACCAGGCTGGTCTTAAACTGCTGACTTCAGGTGATCCACCCACCTTGGCCTCCCAAAGTGCTGGGGTTACAGTCGTGTGCCACAGCACCTGGCTCTGCTTGATAGTTAATGCTGATTTTATTTATTTTTGAGACGGAATCTCACACTGTCTCACACTACAGACATGCGCCACCATGCCCAGCTAATTTTTTTGTGTTTTTAGTAGAGATGGTCTCCATCCCCTGACCTCGAGGTCCTCCTGCCTCGGCCTCCCAAAGTGCTGGGATTACAGGGCTGAGCCACTGCACCCGGCCCCTTAACAGTAATTTTATCTGGCTTTGCATCTGAGGCTCCCTTTCCAATAAGGATGGGGAGAAGAGAAAGAGGGGACAGCAAGGCCGGGCGTGGTGGCTCACGCCTATAATCCCAGCACTTTGGGAGGCTGAGGCGGGTGGATCACGAGGTCAAGAGATTGAGACCATCCTGGTCAACAAGGTGAAACCCGTCTCTACTAAAAATACAAAAATTAGCTGGGCATGGTGGTGCGCACCTGTAGTCCCAGCTACTCGGGAGAGTGAGGCAGGAGAATTGCCTGAACCCAGGAGGCGGAGGTTGCGGTGAGCCAAGATGGTGCCATTGCACTCCAGTCTGGGTAACAACAGCGAAACTCCGTCTCAAAAAAAAAAAAGAGAGAGCGAGAAAGAGGGGACAGCAGACAAGGGACACAATGGGCAGGGCCATGTGCAGTGGCTATGGTGAATGGTCCAGAGAAATTACATGCCTGTAGTGGAGTAAGCAAGTTCTAAATTCTGAGGACCATGAACAGAGGCAACTCAAATTTTAAAATGCAGAAAAACACACTGGGCCCATGAAGGGACCAGATGGCTGTACAGTTGGGTTGAAACCTCAGGGACATGAAGAGGAGGGATAAGAGATGAGCATGGAAAAGAAGGTTTGGAGTCCCACTTAAATGCCAGGAAAAAGAGTTTGTGCCCAACTCTGTAGGCAGCAATAGTCACTGCAGGTCTCTGATTGTGGAAATGACATGATTAGGATTGTCCTTTGGGAAGAGGAGGCTGGGAGAGGTGTTTGTGGATTGGAGCTGCAGAGGCAAGTCCTGAGGAGCTGAGTTTAGGGACCAGTAACAGTGATAGATATAGAGTATAATGAAAGACCATCCTGAGGAGGATGGCAGTGTGAAAGGAAAGGAGGCATGGGTTTGAGGGTCAGAATCAATGGGACTTGTCAACTCAGTGGAGGGGTATAAAGAGAGGAAAAAGTTGTAGGTGGTGGGAGGATGGTAAGGAACTTGGAGGAGGGGGCAGAGGAGGTAATGGGAATAAGGAGCTCCATTTTGGAGACACTGAATTTGAGATGCTAGAAGAACATCTATATAGGGTTTCAGCAGCAATCTGGACAGCTGAATCTGAAATTCAGAACACGTTGGGGCAAGAGAAACAGATAATGAAAATAATCACCATAGAGATAGTAGAAGAACAAGGGGAAAAGGTTGTGCCCTGTGCACATGCTTAGTTTAATGCTGTTTTCTTTTTTGAGACAGAGTCTTGCTCTGTCACGTGGGTTGGAGTGCAGTGGCGCGATCTTGGCTCACCACAACCTCTGCCTCCTGGATTCAAGCGAATTCTCCTGCCTTAGCCTCCTGAGTAGCTGGGATTATAGGCGCATGCCATCAGGCCCAGCTAATTTTTGTATTTTTAGCAGAGATGGGGTTTCACCATGTTGCTCAGGCTGGTCTCAAACTCCTGACCTTGTGATCCGCCTGCCTTGGCCTCCCAAAGTGCTGGGATTACAGGAGTGAACCACATGCCTGGCCTGTTCTCTTCTTAATGCTCTGTTGTATTCTTAAAATTCTTTGAACAAGGAGCCCTGCATTTTAATTTTGGAAGGGGATCCATAATTATACTAAGGGAGAAGGTGTAGTACAGGCTGGGATCCTTACCCCAGACTACTGATGGAGTCTGTGTCTTGTGAAATGGTACATACAATTTGATGTATTTGTGTAGTCATGCATATCTCTGAGAATAGGGTTCACGAATTTCATCAGATTTACAAGAGTTTGTTACAGGCTGGGTGCAGGGTGGCTCACACCTGTAATCCCAACACTGAGAAGCTGAGGCGGGTAGATCACCTGAGATCAGGAGTTTGAGACTAGCCTGGCCAACATGGCAAAACCCTGTATCTATTAAAAATACAAAAATTAGCTGGGTGTGGTGGCGGGTGCCTGTAATCCCAGCTACTCGGGAGGCTGAGGCAGGATAATTGTTTGAACCCAGGAGGCGGAGGTTGCAGTGAGCTGAGATCATGCCACTGCACTCCAGCCTGGGCAACAGAGTGTAAGACTCTGTCTCAAAATAAATAAATAAACAAACAAATAAATAAATAAAAAGATGGTATTGGCTGCCTCTGGGAAGGGCAACTCAGTGAGTAGAAGACAGGGATGGGAAGGTGACTTTTCATTGTATGCCCTTTTTCTACCTTTGGAACTTTTTTTTTTTTCAGACAGAGTTTCACTTTTGTTGCCCAGGCTAGAATGCAATGGCCCAATCTCGGCTCACCCCCACCTCCACCTCCCAGGTTCAAGTGATTCTCCTGCCTCAGCCTCCGGAGTAGCTGGGATTACACGTATGTGCCACCACGCCTGGCCAATTTTGTATTTTTAGTAGAGATGGGGTTTCTCCACATTGGCCAGGGTAGTCTTGAACTCCCAACCTCAGGTGATCCACCCACCTTGGCCTCCCAGAATGTTGGGATTACAAACATGAGCAACACGCCTGGCCTTGGAACTTTTAACTGTCATATAGCACCTGTTCAAAAATGAAACAAAATGATTTAAAACAAAGCCTCAGGGGTCCAGAGAAAGAAGAGGGAACAAGGAGAACCTGGGGATATATAGATGGAGAAGGTAGAGAAGCAGCTCCCAAAAAGGTAGTGGGAGAACTAGGATTGAGCCTGTTGTGACTACTGCCAGAAGCAGGGTTTCTAGAAGGAGAGTATCACTAATGGTCAGATGTAGCCAGAGAAAAAGATGAGGAGCAAGAAAGGCCCAGCGCCTTTCATGTGGCAGCAGCTTAAAACATGTACTTCGTGTATGGAAGACAATGACAGCACGACTCCCCCATGAGGGGAGCCACACACCACGAGCCTCCCTCCCCCAACTCAGCCAGTCCCATCAGCCCGACCCATCTGTGTGTTCCCTCCAGACGCCTACAGGGAATAGCTCAGAACAGACTGAAGCTGAAGCCCGGCTCCCGCCAGACCTGGGAGAGGTGAGGCCTTCTCTGAGAACCAGGCCATTCTCTCTTTCTCTGATCAAGGTAGAGTCATTGATCTGGGCTGGGGTGAGAGGTCAGCAGAGGGGCACTGGGACCTGAGCTGCCATGCCAGGTGAGGTCCCTTCTGCTCTCATGCATCTCTTAACCACTGCTATGCTATTTTGTCTTGTCTTACCAGCCCCTGCTGAGCACCTACTACTTCCACTCCCCTTTGCCCACAAGACCCCCCTCATTGGCCCAGAGCATAGACTGTGTGTGTTCTCCCTTGAGGGCCAGAGGAGCAGACAGTCCTACATCTGGAAATCTCTCCACTCTGGGCCTCTGCCTACAGATGAGCCTTTAGGCTCTGCTGCATCTGACCCCCTTTTAGAGAGAGACTGGAGCAGGGGCCGCCCGAAAGGTGGCCAAGGTCATGCACAGAAGTCCTCTGGATTAAACTCTTACTCCCAGGAAGTTCACACACACATCTTTTTATTAAAATCTAACAGTTTCAATCCATATCAGTCTAAGTAGATTTTTCCTGGACATTTTAATCTTTCATCCACAAATGCAGAAGACATTTCTTCCTCTCAAAGACTCAACATCTGCAATTTGCCAATCACTGTGCTGGGCCCAATGGGAAAAACAAATACATTTAAGATACAATCTCTGCCCCTCAAATAGCTTACAATTAAGCTGGGGAGATGGAACAGGTAGTACAGCACAAAACAGGTAACAGTAGCAAACAATATCATATTCTATGTAACTGGGGGCTACCTCACGTGCTCCAGGAACTCTGAATGGAAGAAACAGTAAATTTGGAAGACATATTTTAGAAACTGGGCCTTGCAGTATATGTAGGCTATAGATAGATGAGAGAAAGAAGGAAAAAGATTCCTTGTGGTCAGACTACATAAGCAACTGCACAGAGGAGAAACAGCAGGCAGCCCACCACATGAGGAAAAGGCGCTTCCTATAAAGAAGGCAGCAAAATTTGGGTGGCTGGTGCGGTCGTCAAACAGGACACAAGCATACTGCTTCTCAGGCCTTTATCATCTTGATGACTCTCTGATGGATATGCTCAAGGTCCCTTTTCGTCTATTTGAATATTGATCTCAAGTTTCCACAGCTTAATGGTTTTGAAAACTCCAGATGTGAATGCAAATTCAGTAAGCCCTTGAATGCTTTTCAGTTCCTGCTAAGGATGCTTCCTGGATGAAGTCACTATTAACCTCTTGGGTTTTCTGAACCTCAGCTGTGCTATCCCAACTCAAAAATGAAGAATACCTACCTTGTAGGGAAGTCTTTAGGACTAAATAAAAGAGCAAAGATCTTTGTAATTTCTCAAGCATTATACAGAGGAGCAGTGGAGGCAGTAGTGCCTTTTGCATCCTATGTCCTGGCCCTTTATTTAGGCATCAAAGCAGCTTGCTAAACTCTCAGAACACACCACCATTTGGAGATTATAAATTTAAGTTACTGTCTACAGGGTCCAACATGCCTCCCATAAGGAGTCACCCCTTTGTTGGGTTTTGTTGTTTGGTGGAGAGTTGGGGGAAAGATTGGCAACTGAAGTTCCATGATGGTATTTTAGTGCACGATTTTCCATTTTTGTGTTCAAAGTATAACTTGACTTTAAGCACAGGACCTGTGCTGATTTAATACTTATTCAGGTTGGGCACAGTGGCTCACGCCTGTAATCCCAGCACTTTGGGAGGCCAGGTGGATAGATCACTTGAGGTCAGAACTTTGAGATCAACCTGGCCAACATGGTGAAACCCTGTCTTAACGAAAACAATTACAAAAATTTGCCGGGTGTGATGGTGGGTACCTGTAATTCCAGCTACTCAGGAGGCTGAGGTGGGAGAATCGCCTGAACCCAGGAGGCAGAGGTTGCAGTGAGTGGAGATTGCGCCTTTGCATTCCAGCCTAGGTGACAGTGTGAGACTGTCTTTAAAAAATAAATAAGGCCGAGCACAGTGGCTCACACCTGTAATCCCAGCATTTTGGGAGGCTGAGGCAGGTGGATCACCTGAGGTCGGGAGTTCAAGATCAGCCTGGCCAACATGAGAAACCCCATTTCTACTAAAAATACAAAATTAGCCATGTGGTGGTACATGCCTGTAATTCCAGCTACTTGGGAGGCTGAAGCAGGAGAATGGCTTGAACCCGGGAGGCAGAGATTGTGGTGAACTGAGATCACGCCATTGTACTCCAGCCTGGGCAACAAGAGTGAGACTCTGTCTAAAAATAAATATTCAGAAAGTGCCAGTTTAGGGCTAGGCTCTGGATACCAATAAAGGATAGGTGGTTCGGGAATGCTTGGGGGATGCTACGAGGGACACTAAGGAAAGGGTGGTAACAGAGGGTGCTCTCAGCTAGTTGTGGCTCACACCTATAATCCTGAGGTCAGGAGTTTAGAAACCAGCTGGGCAACATAGCAAGACCCCATCTCTACAAAAATTACAAAAGTTAGCTGAATGTAGTGGCACATGCCTCTAGTCCCAGCTAATCAAGAGGATCATTTGAACTCACGAGGTTGAGGCTGCAGTGAGCTGTGATGGCACCACTGCACTCCAGCATGGGCAACAGAGCCAGACCCTGTCTTAGAACAAAACAGAGTGCTCTGGTATTTTTCCCCTGCCAGACAAAGCTAAGTCCCTTGAAGGTACCAGTGAGGGGCGCTCATTTTGATTTTTCAAAACCATCTGGTTAAAATCTAACTATATGGACAGAGTCTCAAGCATAAACAGATTGGGCTAGTGGGATTTGTTTTCCTGAAAACTAGGCAGGTTCTATGTGACCCAAGACCTTGTGAGCTTGGGGCTTTAGCCCAGGAACAATTTATTTATTTTAAAATGAAGATTTATTTTCACCATTGCACCACCCTTGGTTCTCCCCATAAACCTTGAGCATTCTCTTTAGTTGGGGAGAATGAAGTCAGCTAGAAAATCAAGTGAGTAGGCATCCAAAGGAAGGGGAATACTAAGGACAGTAATAAGCCAAGTTCCAAACCTTTCTCAATGAATCCTCACATTCCTAAGAGATAGGTACTATCATTTTCTTTTTATAGACGAAGTATGAGTTAGAGAAGTAAAGTAACTTACCCCAGCTTACTCAGCTAGTTTGTGAGGGAAGAGGAATCTGAACGATGCTGTATGGTTCCAGTGTGACACCTGGCTACAGGGTGGAGGTCCCCTAGCTTGCTTGTGCTCAGGAGTTGAGGTGAATTCTCAGCACCAATTCTAAACAAGTAGGCTTCCTGGTGCCTGAAGGCTGACTGAAACTCTCATACTTTCTGAAACATTGGCAAGTCTGACAAGTCTCCAATTTCCAAGGTCACTGTTTCCCCTTTCTACAATCTGGCAATGACTGGCTCCTTTCCAGTCGTCAGGCACCTCACCCATCTACCCATTGCTCTAAAAAAAATAACTGCTTAATGGCTCTCCAGCAACTCCAGCCAACTCCTTAAGGGCTCTTGAGAGCAGATCATCTGAACAACTAAGAGACTTCATCCAACTTTTGGAAGTGATCTTTGATCAGCTCTTTCCTTGCCCCCACCTTCCCACATGATCTAAATTGGCTGGTCTGCCTCAACTCACTTTCAGAGCACTCTTAACCAAGAGCACACTGGAAAGCAAACCGGTCCTGGATATAAAGCGCAAAAGTTAGGAGAGAGGGGAAAGGAAGTCTGAAGCCAGAAGATTCAGATATGCAGCTTCTCAGACTTGAATTCCTTTTCTGCAACCAGCTCGTGACTATTTCCTTTACCTGGTTGCCATGGAAACATCAAACTGGTGGATGGCAAACAGTACTTTGGAAAGAAAGTATCACAGGCTACCATGGTAACGTCAAAAAGAGTAAAGCTGCAACTTCTCTCTTGGTAGAGTGAGGAAAGAATGGATGAGGCTACTGGGAAAAGCAGCCTAGAAGGGACATCCTTTGAAAAGGATGAGGCTACTGGGAAAAACAGCCTAGAAGGGACATCCTGGTGCTGACTTTTAACACAGAGAGCATTAATTCAATTCCACAGACACTTAATATGTGCAAAACAAAGCAATCCTAAGAAAGACATCTAGGGCTGGCCTCATCAGGCTATAACCATCCAGTAACGTAGTTTTCAATTAAATAAATTTTATTGAAACTATTTACTAAATAAAAGCAGAGTAAGATGACCCACAAGTGGACAAAGAATACTGAAAAGAGATTATCTCCAACTAGAAAAGCTTCAGGTTTTTTTTTTTTTTTTATTGAGATGGGGTCTCTCTCGTACTATCACCTAGGCTGGAGTGCAGTGGCGCAATTTTGGCTTACTGCAACCTCCACCTCCTGGGTTCAAGTGACTTGCCTGCCCCATCCTCCTGTGTAGCTGGGATTACAGGCACCTGCCACCACACCCAGCTAATTTTTTGTATTTTTTTAGTAGAGACAGGGTTTTACTGTGTTGGCCAGGCTGGTCTTTTAACTCCTGACCTTGTGATTTGCCCACCTCAGCCTCCCAATTGGTGACTGCCCACCAATCCCTTGGATTATAGGCATGAGACACCACACCTGGCCTAAATTAATTTTTTTTTTTTTTGAGATGAAGTCTCAGACTGTTGCCTGGGCTGGAGTGCAGTGGCATGATTTCAGCTTATTGCAACCTCCACCTCTCAGGTTCAAGTGATTCTTCTGCCTCAGCCTCCTCAGTAGCTAGGACTACAAGCGTAAGCCACCATGCCTGGTTAGTTAGTGTCTTAAAGGACAGGACTTTGATCAGGAGGAAGAGGAAAGGAAGAAAGAACAAGGTAAGCAAAGACGTGGCAGTTGAAAAATTCTGAGTCTACTGAGAGCTATGGGAGTAGGGATAGGAAAAGTGACACTTCCTTGCTGACTCCAAGGCCTTGTCTTCCACAGTGGTGCTGAGAGGCAGGTAAGGTTAAGAGTAAGTAATCTGAAGACAGAGTACTTGGATTAGAATCCCTAACTTGCTAACTTTGTGCTCATGGGAAAAATTATTTAACCTTTTTGGATATGTTTCCTTGTTTACAAAGTAAAGATAATAAAATTATCTACTTTTGAGAGTTGTCGTGAGGATTAGGTGACTTAATACATATAAAATGATTGAGTGCCTAACCTACAACAAGCCTTGCATAAATGTTAACAACTACCATTACGCCACCTCCTATCACCTCACCTTTCAGAGTCTCTTCACTGTCCAAGTGTTGCTGCCTGATTTTCACTAACGCAGTTAGGGAAAAGAGGGACTGTGATATAATTCCATCCTTCAAGTTTTTACTCAATTCCCTTCATTATATGCTCCAGGACTAAAGGTTCACAGGTCAAGCCTCTGCTTCTACTGGTAACTCCTATTTGGGAGTTGTTGGGAGCCTGAGGAAGTAAGCAGAATTCCTGTCAAGAGCACAGCAGTTTAAAGAACAGGGAAGAAATGCCACCACCTTTGAGAATATAGAAGCATGCTGTAACAGGAAAAAAAAAAGAGAGAATATAGAAGCATATATAGACTGTAAGCCAAAAATCAGGTGAGAATCCTTTTTGGAACTGAGAACTGGTAGAGAAATTTATGCTGGAAAAGGATTTAAGCCACAATGTCACCCCTACCTTCCCCCTCCCTTGCCACCATGTGCAGGTAGATGTTGAGGGGTTTCTTTAACCTTAAGCTGGGCCCAGAATCTGTTCACTGCCTGCTTCTCTCCACTCTAACCACCTCCTATGGAGGGATGAATAACAAGAAGGCACTGAGTCAGCCAAGCAGTGGCTCACGCCTGTAATCCCAGTACTTTGGGAGGCCGAGGTGAGCAGATCACCTGATGTTGGGAGTTTAAGACCAGCCTAACCTGAACAGGGAGAAACCCCATCTCTACTAGGAATACAAAATTAGCTGGGTATGGTAGCGCATGCCTGTAATCCCAGCTAATCAGGAGGCTGAGGCAGGAGAATTGCTTGAACCCAGGAGGTAGAGGCTGCGGTGAACCAAGACTGCGCCATTGCACTCCAGCCTGAACAACAAGAGCAAAACTCTGTCTCAAAAAAAAAGAAGGCACTGAGTCACAGACACCGACACCAACTGTCACTCACTAGATACCATCACCTTATATGGAGTAAGACTGGAAATTGTCTTAGATATTTCCTTACTTCCAATATCGTGTCTCTCCCAGAAAGAAGCTGTGTGAGAAGCTAATAACAAAGAAGAACTGAGGTGGAAGGATCCAAGTGTAGGAAGGCCAAAGTAGCTAGCGACGGAAACATAAGGAAACCCAGCAGAAGAGGGCAAGGAGGCAAGGCCTGTGGACATTTACAATAGTATGAAGGAGTCCAAGCTAGCTGTGAAAAGACCCAGTTCATGGCCTCAGGATGACTAACAAAAATGGTACCCACTGCACTTCTCGAAATGCATTAGAAGCCAAATCAATAACTGTAGGGGTACTGGGCCATAGCCAGCAACTTCTACCTAAAAATAGCACATCCTCCTTCCCTTCTCCCCAGGTCCAGAAAGCAAACTAGGATAGGACAGGGGAAGGGATGGGGGTGGTAGCCAGAACAGCAACAGCAGGTGAGATCCAGGCCTGCAAGAATCAAATGCTGTGGTTTGAATGTGTCCTCCAGAAGTTCACAGTGGAAATTTTACTCCTAATGCAGCAACAGTATTGAAGATGGGGCTTAATACAAGGTGCCTAGGTCATAAAGACAGAGCCCTCATGAATGGATTAATGTCACTATCACAGGAGCAGGTTATCACGAGAGAGCTGTTATAAAGCAAGTTTGGGCCCTGGTCCCTTTGTCTTATGTGCTCATTTCTACCTTGTGCCCTTCTGCCATGGGATGACCCTCACCAGATACAGGCACCATGCTCTTGAAATTCCCAGTAATGAGAAATACACTTCTTTACAAATTACTCAGTCTGTGGTATTGTTATAGAAGCAGTAAACAGACTTAGGAGCTAGAGTCCCACTGGCCTTTTCTGACTCAAGCAGCCTTCAAGTACTTAAATGATTTCATGTCAAAAGCAACCCCGGAGGCTAACATCACTGGCTTAGAAGTCTGAGAGCTGACAAATTAAAACCCAACAGCAATTATTCATATTTTTAGCAGAAGAAATTCTTAGCATTTTGTTGCCATAGAGATCAAAAAAGGAGCCCCACAGAGCCCTGCCCCTAAATTCAGTCCTCCTTTCATTTGGTCCCTAAGCACAGTGAGAAAGCCTCTCCCTCACCCACTTATTTTAAGGCAGTGGTAGGTACACCTTACCTTTCAGAGGTATTTCTAGAATACTCAGTTCCCTAGAATTCACTGGTCCCAGGCCTGTTATCCCAGGCAGAGCCATATGGAAAGCAAGGGTTGAGGGGACTGACAGAGGAACAATAGCAGACATCAGGTCAGGGGAACCCTGCCGTATTATGCAAGACCCAAACCCCTTTGGATACTGGACTGGGATTGCTACTACAAAGAGGTTCAAAGGTAAGTACAAAGGCCAATAGAGTAAGAATGCTGAGCTTAGTAGCCTCTCTGGTACTTAAGCTCTTCAAGATCACAACCCACCTCCCCCCACACCCAAGGAAAAAAGTACAGAATGTAGTACTGTCATAGTGCCATCTGCTGGAAAAATAAGATTTGTCCTTAAGCACAGAGGAGCAGCCCGTAAGTCTAAAGCTGTCCAGTGGGTAGGTTGGGATGGAGATAGTAAAGATGCCGATAGATGGAGAAGACAACCATAGGATCGAGAGTGTAATGCAGATACAGAATGGGAAACCCATTCTGTGAGTTTTCATTTTTCTTTTTTTGAGATGGTGTCTTGCTCTGTCACCATGCTGGAGTGCAGTGGAGTGATCTCGGCTCACTGCAACCTCCACCTCCCGGGTTCAAGTGTTTCTCCTGCCTCAGCCTCTCGAGTAACTGGTATTATAGGCGCCCACCACCACACTCAGCTAATTTTTGTATTTTTAGTAGAGATAGGATTTCTTTTTTTTTTAAAAAAAAAAGACGGGGTTTCACCATGTTGGTCAGGCTGGTCTTGAACTCCCAACCTCAGGTGATACGCCTGCTTTGGCCTCCAAAATGCTTGGATTACAGGAGTGAGCCACCACACCCAGCCAGAGATAGGATTTCACCATGTTGGCCAGGATGGTCTCGATCTCCTAACCTCATGATCTGCCCACCTTGGCTTCCCAAAGTGCTGGGATTACAGGCGTGAGCCACCATGCCTGGCTGAGTTTTCATTTTTCTTTCTAAAGTTGGTTAAATAAAATAAATAAAAGAAAACACGGCCGGGCGCGGTGGCTCAAGCCTGTAATCCCAGCACTTTGGGAGGCCGAGGCGGGTGGATCACGAGGTCAAGAGATCGAGACCATCTTGGTCGACATGGTGAAACCCCGTCTCTACTAAAAATACAAAAAATTGGCTGGGCATGGTGGTGCGTGCCTGTAATCCCAGCTACTCAGGAGGCTGAGGCAGGAGAATTGCCTGAGCCCAGGAGGCGGAGGTTGCGGTGAGCCGAAATCGCGCCATTGCACTCCAACCTGGGTAACAAGAGCGAAACTCTGTCTCAAAAAAAAAAAAGAAAAGAAAACACAATGGTGTTACTAATCTTTTATAATCCCTAGAAACATCATGGTTTGGGCTCTTAAGAAGTTGTCAGACACACAACAGAGACCACACACAAATGGGCAACAGCTGCCACAAGGAGGCGGCTTGCCTTTTGTACAAAGTTTTTATACACACACACACACACACACACACACACACACACACACAAACACATTTATGTACACAGACACAAGAGGATAAAATCCAGTGAGAAGGGCTCACACATGCCCAGGTAGGAAATGGGAGCAGCTTTAACTGCCAGGGTTGAGGCCACAGTAGAGGCACACAGGAAGTGGTACAGAGTAGCAGCCTCCCTCCATCCTCCCACCCTGGGCCAAAGGGAGGACCTACGAGGAAGGACAAGTATTCAAAGGAAGATGGAAGACACTGGAAAGGTACACTCCACCTCTTACTAAATTCTTGAAAGCCCCTAAATGCCTGGCAGGATAGATCACTCCCATGCCTCCTAGCAAGAGGCTAAGTCTACAGTAGGTCTGGCCTTGAACTGCATCAAGCTAAGGTCTGAGGTTGGCTTCTCAACGCACGAATCCATGCTATCTTCTAGGGCCCTTGCAGTAGTAAAAGAGCACCTTCAAGGCTCACCCCACAAACTCAGTCCTCTTGATTCAGAGGTCCTAAGGGTTTTCCTTGACAGACTGAAGGATAAAGGTACAGGAAAAGGAGACAGGTCAGTGCCTTCAGTTAATGCCCTATGGCCTTCCCAATGGGGGAGGAATTGAGGAATCATTAGGGTGTAGGAAAGAGCAAGAAGGTCATCTCAGAGACAATACACATGGAGAAAAAGGTACTCAATGCAGGTATAGATTCTGCTTTCTTCAACTGGGCGCTTTGCTCAGCAGAGTCCATTTCCAGTGGGGCAGGAGCTCTTCTTGGTGTCTTAAGGGTGACCCCAATTCCCTCAGAGATAATGTCCATGCCCTCAGGATGGCTTGGTCCACAAAATGGAGAGATGGGGCCATGGAAGAGTAGATGTGAAGTAGCAGGACCCAGAGGCACAGGGAGGAAGTCTGCTGTGCCACCAATTTACCTATGGAAAGAAGAGGTAAATGCAAAACCAAAGAAAAGAGAATAATCAAAGACTAGAATGAGCTAGGTCCTGAGACTCACATGGTCTGGGGGGTAAAGAGGCTGGAGAGCTGGAAGCACTGGGAGGCAAGGTTCAGGGCTGGACTCAGAGCTAGAACAAAGAGAGGCAGAATGAGTAAGCAAGCACAGTGTACTCCTTCTTTCCAGATCCCAAACCTTCCCTTCCTTTCCCAAGACCAAGACTACCAGTCAGAGCTGCTGGGTTCAGGGCGCCCAAGGGAACTGCTCCATTCAGTTGCAAGGCAGCAGCTTGGGCGGCGGCGGCAGCAGCAGCAGTAGCAGTGGTACTTGGCAGTTGTATTCCAGAGCCTAAAAGGAAAAGAAAAGATGGAATTAGGCCCCAACCCTTGATCTAAAATTCAACCCCATATTCTTCACTTTGCAGAGATATTCTACCTTCTGCCAGTTTGGCCATAAGCTGCAAACATCCACCTGCTGATCCCAGATCCAGCTCCTGGTCCCCATCAGGGAAAGTGATGTCTGTGCCACCATCCAGTTGCTCAGTCACATGGCCAACCCTCATAGGTCGACCAGCAAGCTCAAAGCCATTCAACTGATCCATGGCCCGCCGGGCACACTCAGAGTCAGAGAACTATGAGAAACCCAGGCCATGTTAGTCACCTCCTCACCAAAGACATGCTCTCAAAGCCCCAGTAACATTCCTTAGTCCTACTATCCCAGGAAAACTGTATACTCACTGAGGTACAGTACAACTTTTCTTTCCCAGAAAATATACCCATCACCTCAAAATGGTTGTCGGAAAAGGACCTTTTCTGGTGGACTCAATAGCAGTCACTTTTCAATCTTCCACCTCCATTAAGAATCTAACAATAGGCCGAGCACAGTGGCTCACACCTGTAATCCCAGCACTTTGGGAGGCCAAGGTGGGCAGACCACCTGAGGTCAGGAGTTCAAGACCAGCCTGGGGAACATGGTGAAACCCCTGTCTCTACTAAAAATACAAAATTATCTGGGCATGGTGGTACATGCCTGTGATCCCAGATGCTTGGGAGGCTGAGGCAGGAGAATCACTTGAACCCAGGAGGCAGAGGTTGTGGTGAGCTGAGATCACGCCATTGCACTCCAGCCTGGGCAACAAGAGCAAAACTGCATCTCAAAAAAAAAAAAACCTCCAACAATGCAAAAGTTTATTTATTTTTTGAGATGGATTCTTGCTCTATCACCAGGCTAGAGTACAGTGGCTCAATCGCAATCTCGGCTCACTGCAACCTCTGCCTCCTAGGTTCAAGCAATTCCCCTGCCTCAGCCTCCCAAGTAACTGGGACTACAGGTACGTGCCACCACGGCCAGCTAATTTTTTTGTGTGTGTTTTAGTAGAGAAGGGGTTTCACTATGTTGGCCAGGATGGTCTTGATCTCCTGACCTTGTGATCCGCCCACCTTGGCCTCCCAAAGTGCTGGGATTACAGGTGTGAGCCACTGCACCCAGCCTGCAAAAGTTTATTACTGCAGGAAACCTAGCCTAACAGGTTATTTAAAAAATGGGTATATTCAATGGAAGACAGGCTGAGAGCCAAGGGCTTTTAATTCAGTTCTTTGTACTAGTAAGTTTGAGTTCTTAGTCAAGTACTAGGAATCTGGAATTCCTAGAAGGGAACGGACCCTAGTGCTGACAGCAAGGCAGCATGCATACCCCATATACACACCAGAGTTGCTGATTAAGTGATCTGCCGACCTGAACACCTTTACTCTCTAGTCCCTTTTATTAGCAGTACCCAGCAACACCCTGGTATAAAGGATTCCCAGTCTGCTGTTTGTATAAGTGTCAAGGTTGTTGACCCAAAAGGCAACAACACAAGGGCAAAAATGCTGCACAGAAGCCTTTCCATATCTCAGTCATACAAAGAGCTAGAAAAGGTTACAAAGGTTACTCGCCACCAAAGAACTGTCAACACCACAGCTAGCTTTGTTTAGCTAGCTAACAGTATTACCTGCCTAGGGCCTGGCATGTGGTACTGACAGTTCCTAGGCAGATACTATATATGGCTTGCCTCTACTGGCTACTTCTGAGGTGAGCAATTCCAGTGGCAGAATACAATCTAATGCCCCTCTGCCTGTGGGTAACTGTGGGGGTGTATGCTGCCTGGATTAAACTCAGAAAATACCAGCTTCTATCAGACTTTGTGGCTGGCAGCCAGTTCTCAGCCTGGAGTCACATGGGACTGGAAGAACCAGATATAGGAATTGGAAATAGTTTTGTTGGAATGTCAGTAAAAGGTGAAACTTGCCCATAATTAGGTAGCCTCACTATTTTCCCCACAGTGCTATGTTAATAATTGATCCTTCTCAATGCAGAAATTGCTTCAAATAGGGTAGCACCAGAGGGGAGTATAATTTCCTACTACTCCCCCCGTTATGAGAAACAACAATTCTATAAAGCACGTCTTTAAAAGCCCATACCTAACCTCCCTCACGCCCTCAACCTTTTAGCTGCAGCCTGGTTACTATTACCCAGAGAGCCAAGGTGCAGCACAAGGGAAGCTGGTTGAACTCCTAGACACCCCCATACCAGGACCACTGACAGAGTGTAGGAGCAAAGCTAATATCTCAAGCAATGCTCTCATCTCAAGAGGTAGAAGGCTAGTCCAAGCTTCAGGCACCAGGGTTTATGGGTCATTTAGACAGTTCCTAAAGTAGGAGGATGAAGCTAAGCTGCAAAATCGGACAAGCGGACAAACCCAAAGTAAATAAAAAATTAAAAGGACTAGAGACTCACCGTGATGAAACCATAACCTTTAGAGCGGCCTGTATCTGAATCCTTCATCAGGACAATATTATCAATCTGTAGTAGAATAGTAAGAAATTATTAGTAAACTTTTGACTAGCCCACACACATTCAATCTTTCCTACCCAGATTGTTCTTTTTTTTTTTTTGGAGACAGAGTCTCACTCTGTTGCCCAGGCTGCAGTGCAGGGTGTAATCATTAATTTTTATATTTTTAGTAGAGATAGGGTTTTACCATGTTGCATGTTGGCCAGGCTGGTCTCATACTTCCGGTCTCAAATGATCCACCAGGTTCAGTTTCCCAAAGTTCAGGAATTACAGGTGTGAGCCATCACGATCTGCCAATATTTCTAACTTTCTACCCAACAAATTATCTCTCCCTCTTTCTCTCTCTTTTTTTTTTTTTTTTTTACAAATTACATCTCTATTTATTTATTTTTTGCAGTAGGGTCTCACTCTGTTGCCCAAAATGGAGGGCAGTGGCACAATCATGGCTCACTGCAGCCTTGATCTCTAATGCTCAAGCAATCCTCCCACCTTAGCCTCCCAAGTAACTGGGACTACAGGCATAGGCCACCACACCCAGCTGATTTTTTATTTGTAGAGACAAGATTTTGCTACATTGCCCAGGCTGCTATCGAACTCTTAGGCTCAAGTGATCCTCCTGCCTCAGCCTCCCAAAATGTTGTGATTATAGATTGAGCTACAGTACCTGGCCCAAATCTTTTCAAACAAACAGCAGGGCGTGGTGGCTAATCCCTGTAATCCTAGCACTTTGGAAAGCTGAAGTGGGCAGGCAACATGGCAAAACTTTGTTTCTACAAAAAATACAAAAATTAGCCGGGCATGGTGGTGCACACCTACAGTGCTAGCTACTTTACTGGAATTAGGAGTTCTAGATTCCAGAACTAAAATTTACTAGGTGGGAGGGTCACTTGAGCCTGGGAGGTCAAGGCTATAGGAGCCTCAGGGAAAAAAAAAAGGCCATCTTTTACCAAAACATTTCTACTAATGTTTTTTGTTTTTGTTTTTTCCCCCGAGACAAGGTCTCACTCTGTCACCCAGGCTGGAGTACAGTGACATGGTCTTAGTTTACTGCAGACTCAACCTCCCTGGGCTCAGGGGATCCTCCCACCTCAGTCTCCCAAGTAACTGAGACTACATGCACATGCCACCATGCCCAGTTAATTTTTTGTATTCCTTGTAGGGACAGGGTTTTGCCATGTTACCCAGGCTGCTCTCAAACTCCTGGGTTCAGGCAATCCACCTGCCTTGGCCTCCCGAAGTGCTGAGATTACAGGTATGAGCCACTGTACTCCATTTCTTAATTAGTAATCTTAATCTTACCTACTAATCTTTCTTAATCTGGCCTATTATTTGATTCCATTATGTCTAACTTATTTGTCTACCGAGCACATGAACAGATACGGGGCCAAACTTTCACAGTATAGATTCATATGCCCATCATGATGTACATAGCAGGTTAATCCTGGCCAGGCAGAACAGAGAAGCACACTTAAACACTCACCCTCCCCACTTCTTCCAATTCCCTTCAGAGGTTTTTCTCACTTCTACTCACTTTGCCAAAGGGCTCAAAGATGCCTCGAAGCATGTCTTCAGTGATATTGAAGTGCAGGGAACCCACATAGAGGCGCATTGGTCCACCAGTGCCCTTTTGCAGGTTGTTGGCCATGGCTGCCAGTCGGTTTTTCTCTGCCTGGGGAAGGAGGAAATGATGGGTCATGTCCCACATTCCCTCTCCCCTTAAAATCTTATGGCTGTTTCTCAGCCTGCTCACCTGTGAAGCCTGTACAATGATAGGCACTCCCAGCAACCGTTGCCCAGTTAGCCCAATGGCCAGTGGCACAGACTGGATTTCACAGAATTCCACATAAGCAATGCCCTTAGAACGGCGTGAGTTCCGATCTGAGATGATACGTACATCACGAACCTATCCAGGACACAAAAGAAATCCTGAGTTGGGCATAAAGGGAGCTAGAAAAAAAATAAGCTACTCAGAAGAAAACTAAGGTGGGAGGGTTACCTTGCCTACAGCAGAGAAAAAGTCCTCCAGGTCTCGAGGCCTAATGCGGGCAGCTAACTGCATACAGAAAACTGTGCGGGCATCACGCTCCTCAGGACTCAGATTATCAATTGGCTCCCTAAAGATTGAAATGTGTTGAGACCAGCCCTCCCAGTACCTGGTCACTGTTCTCTAGCTAACCCTTAAGTACTACACATTCCTGTAACTTGGCTCAAATAACCTTTTATTCATAATTCACAATCCCTAAAAAAGTATTCATTATCAACTCACCTGACTGGGCTCTTCTCTCTGAAATGAGGACTCTTACTATGTTCATACCTATGGCTAAAGAATAGAGAAAAACAAGAGGTGACCTTATTCTCACTGGTCCATTGCTGGGTCTTTCATGGTGAGAAAACCAGATCCTAGTACTTTTTTTTTTTTTTTTTTGAGACAGGGTTTCCACTGTCACCCAGGCTGGAGTGTAGTGGTGCCATCTCAGGTCATTGCAACCTCTGCCTCTGCAATCCTCTCACCTCACCCTCCTTACGGAGCTGGGATTATAGGCACACACAACCACATCTAGCTAATTTTTGCATTTTTTTGTAGAGGCAAGGTTTCACTATGTTGTCCTGGCTGGTCTCGAACTCCTGGGCCCAAGTGATCTTCTGGCCTCAGCCTTCCAAAGTGCTGGGATTATAGGCATGAGCCACTGCACCCAACAGTAAATTTTTAATACCAACCCTTTCTGTGCCTGAGTCAATCACAGTGTGTTATAATAAGCTGTCAATTATGTCAATTATGATCCCGTCAATCACAATGTGTTATAATAAGCTCCCTTAGTGTTCAGAGTATATTTGTTGTTTTATCCAGATTACTATACAAAGGTGAATCTTATTTGCAAAAAGTCATACCCTGTGGCAAGTGGAGGACTCCTGTAGTGCACACAATCCTCACGACGATGGTCCCGACTTCGTGGCTCACTATGTCGATGATCCCAGCTACGGCTACGGTGATGATGCTGCCGATCTCGACTTCGACTCTGACTGTTTCTCCGTCTATGCTGATCCCGGTCTCGACTACGACTACAGATGGCAACAACTCCAGTCATGCCCATATCATGTTTAGGCAACAACCAAGTGCATATACATATTATGTGCATACGTACTATGATCTCATAAGATCATAATAGTGGCCGGGTGCAGTGGCTCACGCCTATAATCCCAGCACTTTGGGAGGCCGAGGCGGGTGGATCACGAGGTCAAGAGATCCAGACCATCCTGGTCAACATGGTGAAACCCCGTCTCTACTAAAAATACAAAAAATTAGCTGGGCACAGTGGCGCATGCCTGTAATCCCAGCTACTCAGGAGGCTGAGGCAGGAAAATTGCCTGAACCCAGGAGGCGGAGGTTGCGGTGAGCTGAGATCACGCCATTGCACTCCAGCTGGGTAACAAGAGTGAAACTCTGTCTCAAAAAAAAAAAAAAAAGATCATAATAGTGCTAAAAAAGCTCCTACAACTTAGTGATATTACAGATGCTGTAATGTCGTAAAGCATATGTATTACTTATGTGTTTGTGGTAATGCTGGTGTAAACAAAACTATTACCTATTGCACTCCCAGCTGTATAAAAGTATAGCACATCTGATTATGTACAAAGTGGATCTCATGAAGACAGAAAGCAGACTAGTGTTTACTGAAGATCAGGAAGGATAGGGAAATGGGGGGGTGGAAAAAACAGAAGTAGATTAATGGGTATAAATATATGATTTGATAGAAAAAAGGGCTGGGCACAGTGGCTCATACCTGTAATCCCAACACTTCGGGAGGCCAAGGTGGGCAGATCATGAGGTCAGGAGTTTGAGACCAGCCTGGCCAATATGGTGAAACTCTGTCTCTACTAAAAATACAAAAACTAGCCGGGCGTGGTAGCACATGCCTGTAGTCTCAGCTACTCGGGAGGCTCAGGCAGAACCTCCACCTCCTGGGTTCATCGTTTGAACCCAGGAGGTGGAGGCTGCAGTGAGCCAAGATTGTGCCATTATACTCCAGCCTGGGTAACAGAGCAAAACTCTGCCTCAAAAAAGAAAAAAAAAGACCCAGGGCTGGGCATGGTGGCTCACACCTGTAATCCCAGCACTGAGGCGGGCAGATCACCTGAGGTCAGGAGTTCAAGACCGGCATGACCAACATGGAAACTACTAAAAATACAAAATTAGCTGGGTGTGGCAGTGCATGCCTGTAATCCTAGCTACTTGGGAGGCTGAGGCAGAAGAATCGCTTGGACCCAGGAGGCAGAGGTTGTAGTGAGCCAAGATTGTGCCATTGCACCCCAGTCTGGGCAACAAGAGCGAAACTCCATCTCAAACAAAAACAAACAAAAAAAAGAAAATTAGCTGAGCGTGATGGTGCTCACCTGTAGTCCTAGCTACTTGGGAGGCTGAGGCAGGAGAATTGCTTGAACCCAGGAGGTAGAAGTTGCAATGAGCCGAGATTGCACCACTGTACTCCAGCCTGGGTGACAGAGCAAGACTCTGTCTCAGAAAAAAAAAAAAAAAAAAAAAAGAAAGAAAAGAAAAAATAAGACCCAGTGTTTGACAGATCAGTAGGGTGACTACAGTGTAAAATAATCTATTATATATTTCAAAATCGCTAGTAGAATATAATTTGAATGTTTCCTAGTATAATGAAAAGACAAATGTTGGTCCAGTCGTGGAGGTTCACGAGTGTAATTCCAGAACTTTGGGAAGCCGAGGCAGGTGGATCACCTGAGGTCGGGAGTTTGAGACCAGCCTGACCAACGTGGAGAAACCACGCCTCTATTAAAAATACAAAATTAGCTGGGTATGGCGGTGCATGACCGTAATCCCAGCTACTTGGGAGGCTGAGGCAGGAGAATCGACTGAACCCAGGAGGCAAGAGGTTGCGGTGAGCCAAGACTGAGATCACACCATTGCACTCTAGTCTGGGCAACAAGAGTGAAAATTCTATATCAAAAAAAACCCAGAAAAACAAACAAAAAAATATTTAAGATGAAGGATATCCCAAGTACACTGATTTGATCTTTACAAATTGTATGTATTAAATTTTACACATACTAGGAACTACATACATCTATTATGCATCAATTAAAAATAAAACAATCATGTATAGTATATACTTTACAATAATGATGTTATTGATTAATGTATTTACTATACTTGTTATCAACATTCTAGAATGTATTACTTCCACTTACCAAAAGAAAAAGTTAACTATAAAACAGACTTAGGCAGGTCCTTCAGGAGGTGCTCTAAAATAAAGCATTGTTACGGCAGAGTACAACTCCATGCATATTAATGCCCTTGAAGACCTTTCGATGGGACAAGATGTGGAGGTGAAAGACCCTCTGTAGGCCTAGTCCCATGTGTCTTTGTGTCTTAGTTTTCAACAATAATGTTTAAAAAGTAAAAGACTAAAAAAATTTTTTAAATAGAAAAAAGCTTATAGAATTAAGGTCATAAAGAAAATTTGTACAGCTGTACAATGTGTTTTGTGTTTTCGGCTAAATGTTTTAATTTTTTTTTTTTTTTTTTTGAGACAGGTTCTCAATCTGTTGCCCAGGCTGGAATTTAGTGCTACAATCTCAGCTCACTGCAACCTCAAACTCCTGGGCTCAAGCAATCCTCCAGCCTCAGCTTCCCAAGTAGCTGGGAGTACAAATATGCACCACCACACCTGGCTAATTGTTTTTATTTTTTGTAGAGACAGTAGCTTGCTACGTTGCCCAGACTGGTTTTGAACTCTTGGCCTCAAGTGATTCTCCCACCTTGGCTTCCTAAGTGTTAGGATTAAAGATGTGAGCCACAGTGCCTAGCCCAGAATTACTGACCTGCGCTTTCTATCCCTGCTTCTACTGTGGCTCCGACTCCTCTTCTTCCTGTGAAAGAGAGTATATATGTATTTTTTAATTGTGAGACAGAGTCTCACTCTGTCATGCAGTGGTGCAATCTCGGCTCACGGCAACCTCTGCCTCCCAGGTTCAAGTGATCCTCGTGCCTTGGCCTCCCAAGTAGCTGGGATTACAGGCATGTACTATTATGCCCAGCTAATTTTTTGTATTTTTAGTAGAGACAAGTGGCCACTCATCTTGAACTTCGGGCCTCAAGTGATCCACCTGCCTCAGCCTCCCAAAGTGGTGGGATTATAAGCATGAGCACCCCACCCAGTCAGGAATGTAAGTTCTTAAAGAGGTTTCATTATCACTGTCAAAGAGTAAGAATTACAGCAAGGCCAGAATGAAATAGAAATAAATGAAAAGACCAAAGCTCAGATGATCCAGCAGGTTCACAGCAATTACCCAATACCAACTTAGAGCCCTGAAAGCTGCCAGGCATCCGAAGAGGCCATTTTCCCCCCAAAGCCAAGCAAAACCTGGTGTTTCCAAATCATGAGTCCTCTTGCCTTTTTTTGAGACAGAGGGGGGTTTCAACATGTTAGTCAGGCTGGTCTCGAACTCCTGACCTCAGGTAATCCACCCACTTTGGCCTCCCAAAGTACTGGGATTACAGGCATGAGACACCACACCCGGCCCCTCTTGTTGTTTTATTCAAATGAAGCATATCGATTCCAGGACTGATCCACAAATCTACACTGGAAAATGAAGACTAGATCATTACATCAAGTCACCATTATTCTCATGACCCAGTGGAGCCATTATTAAAAGTCAACAGTCTTAAGACTCCCTATTCTGGTTGTTTCTTCCTATTCTGGTTATTTCTCCAATGGACACCAGTTTCCCTTCCCCAAATTGCCAACTCATTTCTTCCTCCCACACTCACTTGCTTGTCTCCTTGATGGTGCTGCTTCCATTGGTCCCACTGCCACTGTTGCTGGTGCTGCTGGTGGTATTGCTAGGATAATCCTTTTTGACTTCTTTCCTTTGTTGCTCATCCTGAGGCATTCACCAGGAAAATGTCACAAGGTATAAACAAGGTGGCAGACACACAGATTCCATTGGACAAAGGGAACAAAGGTGGACAAGGAAGAAATCAAAGCTCTTGATTATCTAGCCAGATTTTGAGCACCTCTATTTCCTAACAAAGGGAGTAAGAGAAGAAACAAAAAAACTACATAAAAGGAAGACATCAGCATGACAGATTCTGATGTCAAACTTCAGCTAACACCTGTTCCACTGACATTTCCCAGGAGAGTTACAAATTGGTGCTAGGCCAGGGCAGTGGTTCATGCCTATAATCCCAGTACTTTTAGAGGCTGAGGCTGGTGGATCAATAGAGGCCAGAAGTTTGAGACCAGCCTGGCCAACATGGTGAAACCCCATCTCTACTAAAAATACAAAAATTAGCCAGGCATGGTGGCACACGCCTGAAGTCCCAGCTACTCGGGAGGCTGAGGCAGGAGAATCATTTGAATCTGGGAGACAAAGGTTGCAGTAACTGGGACTGCACCACTGCACCCCAGCATGGGCAACCTAGTGAAACTCTGTCTCCAAAAGAAAAAGAAAAAGAAACAGGAGGAAGTGGGAGAGAGAGAGAGGGAAAAGCAAGCAAGCAAGCAAGCAAGAAAATTGGTGTTAGGTGGGCCAGGTGCAGTGGTTCATGCCTGTAATCCTAGCACTTTGGGAGGCCAAGGCAAGTAGATTGAGCCCAGGACTTCAAGACCAGCCTAGGCAACATAGCAAGACCCTGTTTCTATAAAAAAAAATATCAAAAAAGAAATTGGGCCAGGTGTGATGGCTCACGCCTGTAATTCCAGCACTTTGGGAGGCCGAGGCGGGCAGATCACGAGGTTAGGAGATCAAGACCATCCTGGCAAAACCCCGTCTCTACTAAAAATACAAAAATTAGCCGGGTGTGGTGGTGCATGCCTGTAATCCCAGCTACTCAGGAGGCTGAGGTACAAGAATCGCTTGAATCCAGGAGGCAGAAGTTGCAGTGAGCCAGGACTGCACCACTGCACTACAGCCTGGCAACAAATCAAAAAAAAAAAAAAAAGAGATTGGTGCTAGGTCTGAGATACAATGACTTGCTACGGTGTCAAGTCATTTTGAGCAAAGCACAGATTACCAATAACACACAATGTGCCCAACCCAACCCTGGTTTCTGAGGCCCCCCCTTTTTTTTTTGAACCAAATGAGGCCTTCTTAAAATTATGACTCTTAACTACAGTCTCCAGCAAAGTGTACTATGTCTCTTATGATTATTCTAAATAATAAACAAGAAGGGAAAGAGGATTCATAAAATGTTGAAAGTTGAAAGTGATGATCCACAACTACTCTTTCTTATTAACCCAATTCCAGGAGCGAGGTGGAAAATATTACCTCTTCTTTTTTATAGGGAGCTTCCAGCATGGCCTCAATCACTATATCAAAGTCATCAGATGCCATTCTGTCAGATCTGAGGAGAGGATATTAATATGTAAGAAGCTGTTTTATATTTTTCCTCCCTTTCCAGCATCACACATTTCCTTTCCCCTCCAAGAAACAGACTTCAGGTTATATAGATTTCAGTTCTGTTTCTTGAACTGCAAAGGGACCTTACCAGATGTCACTTACTCTAGGTTTATTTTTACGCTCTACAGATCTGAACTATTTCTGCTTTGTGGCTTGGAATAGTCAAGGATAGGCCAGGCAAGGTGGCTCACACCTGTAATCCCAGCACTTTGGGTGGCCAAAAAAATAACAAAGAAAAAAAAATTAAAAAATATAGGCGCATTATTTCCAATGAAAAGGTAAAGAGGTAAGACTAAAAATCAGAAGTCAAAGCAACACCAAAATGCAGATTTGCTCTAAGGTCTTCCTCTCCACCCACCCCAATCACCAATAATTAGGGCTTTATCCCTAAGCATTTTCTATCCAATATCAACTATAGTTTAGGTAACTCAGAAATATAAGGATTAAGACAGGCTCCACCAATCACATTTTGAAACCTTTCTGTCCGAAAGGCAAGGTAAAACTTGCCTCCCCCAAGCTTTCACATCTAGCAACTGCCTTTCCCCAGGCTGTCCACCACTAGTTTGTCAAATAGAAAAACAGAACATACCAAAGAAAAACCATTAGGATAAATTATTCAAAAATTATTGGTCTGAAATTATCAACCCATACAACATGGATGAATCTCAAAATAATTATAGAGAGTGAAAGAAACTAGCCCCCCCACCAAAAAAAGTATACAATGAACAATTCCATTTATATAAAATTCTAAAAAATGCAAACTAACCTATACTCACAGAAAGCAGATCAATGGTTGCTTAGGGATAGGAGTAATGGGAAGGGCTGGGAAAGAAAGAATTTTAAAAGGGCATAAGAAAAACTTTGGGGCCAGGAGTTGTGGTTCACACCTGCAATCCTAGCACTGTGGAGGCTGAGGCAGGTGGATCGGATCACCTGAGGTCAGGAGTTCAAGACCAACCTAATATGGTGAAACCTCATCTTTACTAAAAATACAAAAATTAGCCAGGCATTGTGGCACATTCCTGTAATCTCAGCTACTTGGGAGACTGAGACAAGAGAACTGCTTGAACCCCCAAAGAGGAGATGGCAGTGAGCCGAGATCATGCCACTGCACTCCAGCACTCTAGCACTCCAGGGTGACAGACCAAGATTTTGTCTCAAAAAAAAAAAAAAAAAAAAAAATTAGCCAGGTGTGGTGGCAAGTGCCTGTAATCCCAGCTACTTGGGAGGCCTGCAAAGGCCAAGATCATGCCATTGCACTCCAGCTTGGGTGACACAGCAAGACCCTGTCTCAAATAAATAAAAACAGGCCGGGCACAGTGGCTCACACCTGTAATCCCAGCTACTAGGGAGACTGGGGCAGAATTGCTTGAACCCAGGAGGCGGAGGTTGTGGTGAGCCGAGATGGTGCTATTGCACTGTAGCCTGGGTAACAAGAGTAAAACTCCGTCTCAAAAATTAATAAATAAATAAAACAAGCTGGGTGCAGTGGCTTATACCTGTAATCCCACCACTTTGGAGGCCAAGGCAGGCAGATGACTCAGGAGTTCGAGACCAGCCTGGCTAGCATGGTGAAATCCCGTCTCTACTAAAAATACAAAAAATTAGCCAAGCATGGTGGTGTGTGTCTGTAATCCCACCTACTTAGGAGGCTGAGGTAGGAGAAGTGCTTGAACCTGGGAGGTGAAGGTTGCAGTGAGCCAAGATCCCACCACTGCATTCCAGCCTTGGCAAAAGAGCAAGACTCCATCTCAAACACACACAAAAAAAAAACCCTGAGGAATTTCTACACGAGGAGGCTATCACAATCACACTTTTTCTCATTTCTTGTTTTACTTCCTGTTTTTTATTTGAGATGGGGTTTCGCTCGTTACCCAGGCTAGAGTGCAATGGCGCGAACTCGGCTTACCGCAACCTCCGCCTCCTGGGTTCAAGCAATTCTCCTGCCTCAGCCTCCCAAGTAGCTGGGACTACAGGTGCGCACCACCATGCTCAGCTAATTTTTGTATTTATAGTAGAGACAGGGTTTCACCTTGTTGACCAGGATGGTCCGATCTCTTGACCTCATGATCCACCCGCCTCGGCCTCCCAAAGTGCTGGGATTACAGGCTTGAGCCACTGCGCCCAGCCTGACTTTTTCATAACTAAGAACTTTGCTGGCTAGGCACCGTGGCTCACACCTGTAATCCCAGCACTTTGGGAGGTTGAGCCAGGTGGATTACCTGAGGTCAGGAGCTTGAGACCAGCCTGACCGATATGGTGAAACCTTGTCTCTACTAAAAATACAAAAATTAGCTGGGCATGGTGGCAGGTGCCTATAGTCTCAGCTACTCAGGAGACTGAGACAGGAGAATCACTTGAACCTGGTTGGTGGAGGTTGCAGTGAGCAGAGATCACACCACTGTACTCCAGCCTGGGCGGCAGGGTGAGACCCCTGCCTCAAAAAAAAAAAAAAAAAAAGAGCTTTGTCCTCTTTAAAGTAGCTAATGCCCTGTGCAACAGTGCAGCCCTGGTTCCCCTAAGAATCCATATCCTATTTTGACAATTTGAAAAGTATAATAATAACTACACCTATGATTTACAGTACCTACAACTGCTAGGTACTGTGCTAAGTATGTTATAAAGAGATAAGATTCTTAGAGAAAAATTACTTGGAGCAAAATTTTAGGGTTAAAATGGAAATCAAACCAAAATCAAATAAAGCAGTATACATAAAAACCAGTGAACTCAGCCGGGCACAGTGGCTCACGCCTGTAATCCCAGCACTTCGGGAGGCCGAGGCGGGTGAATCACGAGGTCAAGAGATCGAGACCATCCTGGTCAACATGGTGAAACCCCGTCTCTACTAAAAATACAAAAAATTAGCTGGGCATGGTGGCGCACACCTGTAATCCCAGCTACTCGGGAGGCTGAGGCAGGAGAACTGCCTGAACTCAGGAGGCAGAGGTTGCGGTGAGCCAAGATTGCGCCATTGCACTCCAGCCTGGGTAACAAGAGTGAAACTCCATCTCAAAAAAAAAGTGAACTCAGTTTCTTTTTTTGAGAGGGAGTCTCAATCTGTCACCTAGGCTGGAATGCATTGGCACAATCTCAGCTTACTGCAACCTCTGCCTCCCAGGTTCAAGTGATTCCCTTGCCTCAGCTTCCCAAGTAACTGAGATTACAGGTGACTGCCACAATGACCAGCTGATTTTTGTATTTTTAGTAGAGATGGGGTTTCACCATGTTGGCCAGACTGGTCTCGAACATCTGACCTCAGGTGATCCGCCCACCTCGGCCTCCCAAAGTGCAGGAATTACAGGCATGATCCACTGTGCCAGACTTCAATTTATTATAACAACTTTATATTTATTTCACAATCAAAGATAACAAATGCTGCAGAAAGATAATGTGATTCATACACAAATTTTTTAAAACTAAGGTTTTTTGAACTGCTCAGTCATATACAGCTCAAGTGCTGGACAGAGCGGGTGGCCCATGTCTGCAATCCCACCGCTTTGGGAGGCTAAGCTGAAGAATGGCTTGAGGCCAGGAAGTCTAAATCAGCAACATAGTGAGGCCTTATTTTAAAAAAATACAAAAATTAACTGGGCATGGTGGCGCGTGCCTGTAGTCCCAACAACTTGGGAGCCTGAAATGGAAGGATCGCTTGAACCCAGGAGGTTGAGGCTGCAGTGAACTGTGATCATGCCACTGCAATCCAGCAAAATCTGAAAAAGAGAAAAGGTCACACAGTTCAAATTGAGGCACTAATTTTTTATTTTTATTTTGAAACAGGGTTTCACTCTGTTGCCCAGGCTGGAGGGTAGTGCTGCAAATCTCAGCTCACTGCAACCTCTGCCTCTCTAGCTCAAGCAAGTCTCCTACCTCAGCCTCCCGAGGAGCTGGGACCACAGGTGTGCACTACCATGCCCGACTAACTTTTCACATTTTTGAGTTGTTATGTAGAGACACAGTCTGACTATGTTGCCCAGGTTGGTCTCAAATTCCTGGACTCAAGAGATCCAACCACCTTAGCCTCCCAAAGTGGTGGGATTACAGGCGTGAGCCACCACATCCGGCCAGGGAAGCTCATTCTTGTTCAGAAAGGTTTTCTGACTCCAAATCTAACATTATATCCATTATATCAGGTTACTTCTCATATGGCAATTAACTTTAAAGGAAAAAAAAAGTACACAGTATACCAATATATCTACTTTTAAATATACACTCACTGAACATTAATGTTCTTCTGATAGGTTTATCAAAACAATCAGTTCCATTAGCCAAACCTCACTGTGAGTCTTCTGTATCTCTGGCATGTACAGTATATACACACAAGTATTAGAAACCAGACTAATATATACTATCTAATTCACTGTGGGAAAATGGTTCTTTTTTTTTTTTTTTTTTTTTTTTTGAGACGGAGTATCGCTCTTGTTACCCAGGCTGGAATGCAATGGCACGATCTCGGCTCACCGCAACCTCCGCCACCTGGGTTCAGGCAATTCTCCTGCCTCAGCCTCCTGAGTAGCTGGGATTACAGGCACACACCACCATGCCCAGCTAAGTTTTTGTGTTTTTAGTAGAGACGGGGTTTCACCATGTTGACCAGGATGGTCTCGATCTCCTGATCTCGTGATTCACCCGCCTCGGCCTCCCAAAGTGATGGGATTACAGGCTTGAGCCACCGTGTCCGGCCACGGGAAAACGGTTCTAAAAAGAAGTTTTTCATACGCAGCTGTTTCTTTCAGTCATTTTGACTGCCAAGTCTATACAAATTTTCTGTTAGAAACTGTTTTTTACAATTTGCCTTTTCCCCTCCAAATGAAATGCTTGATTTCCAGAACTGCTCATTGTTGAGTGCCAATGCAGGGTAGGGACAACTTAACACACATATTAAAACTTTCACTTAAGTTTACAAGCCTCTACAAATGAACTTCTTTGTATGAAATTTTCACTCAGAAACAAATGAATCTAAGTACAGACATATACAACGCAACACAGTATTTTAAAACGTGCAATCTCACTGGGTTTAGTGTCTTTCTAAATGTCCTAAAAGCAATAAGGCGGCAAACACTATGCGTTTTCAGGCTGGTAGTTTTCTAACTGTCTTCATGTCCCAATTTAGGATTAAGGTCTACTCAATCTCATCCATACACAGAATACAGAATATAGTGTTTTCTTCCAACCTGCTCCAAAAACATCATTAGAAACCCACAATCACGTCAGTTCCAAGACCAGGACATAGCACAAGCCAACAGGCAGACCCCATTGCTAAAGAGGGCAAAGAGAACCACTGTCAGCCCAGTTCGGGAAGAATTCACCAAAAGCTGGAGCCCCAAGGGGTGATGGTAGCGCCATCTCCTGGGTCTGATCACTTAGCTGGGCACAAATACCTCCAAACTGAAAGGCAGCTTAATAAAGAAGAGGAACAATGAGAAAGATAAAAACATTACTTGAAGGACTACCCTCCCCATGTTGTGGAGCTTTAAAAAAATGGTCCTATAGGCAACCAACTGGCACAATCTCTGCGGGAACCAGTGTCCCAGAGCTCAATCTTCATATGTGGCCTCATCATACGCCTAGGAACGAGTGCTTGAAAAAGTTAAAAGGGAAAAGCCCATAAAAGTCAATACAGCGATCATGAATCTTCGAGACTACAGATTGAGGAAGAAAGCTCAATTCCCTTCTCTCTCTCTCTCTCTCTCTGAATAAGTGGTAAGAGTGGCTGAAAACTGATGATACGTGTTGTCTCAGGCCAGGAGGGTCGATGTTCCCTCTCCAGTGTGGGCAACCCTAAATGTCACGGCTTCAGGGACCCGGAAAGAAAAATCACAGGATCCTAGAAACCGTATTTTTATCGGCACAGGATACAGCCACGAGGGTGCCCACCTCTAAAGTTGTGCCAATGGGCTACATTTTAAGTAGCTAACACTTCCAAGTCAAAACAAACCAAAAAAATTTTTTTAATTTAAAAGTTCGCCTAAATCTGTTCATGACGCCATTTTCTGCCCGTGACGTCAGGGGGAGGTGCCGTGCAGCTACGTCACGCATTAGTGACGTCTGGTGGGGGAACCGGGTTTCGGGGTTTCTCACCAGTTCCGGGTCCCCGCAGGGATGTCCCGGTTCTCTCCGTTCCTTTGAGTATGTTGCAGGGAGTGAAGCTCGGATACTTCCTACAGTCTAGGCAAGAAAAGCACCAGTGCAGATAGAGCTACTCCTCTTCCCGCAAAATGGCGGCAGCTCCACCGTCTTCCTGAACCTTCCCCAATCTGCGCATGCGCCAAAACACCCAGGCGTTGGCAGTACCCTCACTGGTTTCGCGGCAACCGTCCAAAGTACAGGTTCTCATTGGCTAAAGCCCTAAGTATGGGTGGAGCAAACTCAAACGCGTCTTAGCAACCACTGCATTCCCGTTGATTGGCTAACCCCAGAGACTTCAGAAAAGGGAAGCATCCTTTGGTAGCCGCCCATCACTCTCTCATTGGTTAAATGACTTGCGGAGGGCGGGGGAAAATGGGACGGAGATCTGGAGTGAAGAAGCCACCTACCCAACTCCCAGCGCTAGTGTAAACTAGACCAATGCGATGGGCGGAGCCAACGAAGAGGGACAGTTGACATCCTTTACTACCCCTGCTCTCATTTGCCGGAGTCACATCGGCCTTCCCAGTTAAACTTTGTAGAGAATAGCGGCGTTTGCTTCCCGTCGAGATCCTAAACTCCACATCCCGGTCATGAGCCGGCTACCTACAGAACCCTCCCGACCACCTCTCCTGAGCTCGGTGCTTGGGACCTAGGAAAAGCAGGTCTTGCCACAGACTTGTCTTCGTCCACACTTTGCCCTATCGTCAAAGCCTGGTTCCACAGGTCACAACTTTCGTTGAAATCAGTGCCCCCTTCACCCCCCATTTCCCACTGCAAGTGTAAATTTGAGTTTTTAAGGTGATTCCTTGGATGTAGCAGTACTCTGAGGCCTCTAACTGGAAAAAAGGAACTGATGTCCACCCTCACTTTCCAAGGTCCTCTAGGAGCCCCTAGACATTTCAGTGGTCTACTGTAGCTACCAAAAATGTAGCTGGTTGTAACATGGGGAGAGCCAGAGTCCGAGGACCTAATTCCAATTCTGACTTGGCTAACATCACATCATTGTACCGATTTCCAATTCTCCCTCTGTAAAATGGAAAACTGGACTAGATGGACTAGACTTCAAACTGTAACTGTGGTTTTATTAAAAAAAAAAAAAAATAGGTAGCTTCTTGCTGGAGATTCCTGGATAGATCCCAGTCTTCCCAAGAGTTAACAAAGGAGAGGTAACCAGTTGCCAGTGCAGTAGCTCAAGAATACAGAAGAGAAGCTGGCTTCATTCACTATTCCATCTGTCTCCAAGGTGGCAAACTCTATGCCTCCTCCCCAGAGAAAAGCCTAACCACAGGTTCTAATGGACAAGAGCTCACTATAGCTAGTCAGAATGGCCTATATTCAGGCGTCCAAGAGTAATTGCTCAGCTTCCTAAGTAGAGAATACAGCTAGTCCCCTTTGGGTCTTGGATAGGTTAAGAGCACAGATCTGAACATGCCTGGGCCTAAGTGAGGTGTGGGAAAATAGCAGCAGGGGGCAGCAGGGTAGTGCAGGAAAGGGCTATATCTTTATTTCTATTTCCTCTTACACAAAACCATCAAAACAAGAACAGAGAAGGGCTGAAATTCTGTTCAAATCCCATGTTCTCAGGGATATTCCAGGGAGCTCTCGAGGCTGTGCGCAGCTTCAAATCCAACACTAATTCCTCACCCCCTGGCCTGAGGTCTTCAGATTGGTGGCTTGAGCCCTGCAATTAATTATAATTCCTTGCCCACCTTGATGTAAGGCAGGAAAGCAGATTGAAACGCTTCTCTCTGATGGGCAAGGGGAATCACAGCCCATAGATGTACTGCACCTTCTGTGCTACAGGAGCAGAACCTGAAGCTGCTTCCAAGGCTCTGGACACTTGCACGCAGGGCTAGAGGCCAATGGTATATGAGCGGCCTGTGGGGTTGTGAATAGCAGAGCAAACTGGTGCTGTCACAGCCCACTCATACCACACCTTCTTGGAATTGCTGCATCGCCAGAAACGCACACAGATGGTCTGGCCTTCACGCACCGTTATGGGCTGCTGTAAGAAGAAAGACAGGGAGGGTCAGGGTGGAGCTAATAAATATGTGGCAACGTATTAAGGTAGGTGTGAAGATAAAATGATAAACATGATAGACTGTCCCAACCCTCATGAAAGTTATTTGAAGTTTATCAGAATACTGAACAATAAGACACTGAACAAATAATCAAAAGTGTGGTGAGTGCTGGAACACATACAGAGTGCTAGAAAAACACCTATGAAAGGGAACACCTAGTAGGTGTTCTACATAGAACCTAGTCTAGTAGGAGGTCAGAGAAAGTTTATCTGACAATAGAAATGTTTAAAGGAGACCTAGAAGATAGTTAATTATGTGAAGAGACAAGCAAAGAACTTTACAGGCAAAAGAAAGGCATGAAAGCCTGAGGTAAAAAAGAATATCAACTATTAGAAGAACCAAAAGAAGGTCCATAAGGCTGAAGCAGTGTAAGCAAGGGCACAGTAGCTGCAAAGGCAAGCAAATAGTAGATCACATCAAGTCTTACAAGCAATGTTCCAGATTTTTACTTTTATCCTAAAGACAATGGAAAGGCATTGAAGGGTTTTAAGCAAAAAAGAGAGATATGATCAAATTTGAGTTTTTAAAAGATGACTCTTGCTCAAAGTAAAGAAAAGACAGAAGAGTAGCCAGAGTAATGTGGAGAAGCCAGGCAGAATGCCACTCCAAATAATCCCAACAACTATCACTGGGATCCAAGAGCAGATGAAATCAGAAGAACATGAGTCATAGTCAACTATCTTCCTGGGAGAAGGAAAGAAGCACAACACCAAAGGCAAAAGTTACTCCTTAACCTACAGAGTCTTAAAAGCAGTTCCTACCTTAATAGGGAAGAGAATGGGAAACCATGAGAACATCCCAGGAGAGTGAGTCTCTGGACGAATACCTGTGTGGACAAAATAATGAAAAAATAGAGGTCTCTATGGCTGTGCCTTTTGCCTATGTTGAAGAGGGTCTCTTCTCTGATCACACAAAGATCTCCATTCACTGAGTACTGGGCTCCCCATAAATCTAAATGACACATGTACATATAAGCTGCCCAGGCAGCGCACCCTCATACTCTGCCATCCACTGCCAGAGACACTCACTCAGAGTGATGTCCTGATAAAGCACAGTCTCAAAGTAGCCTGCAAAGCCATGCAGTACTGTGTTCACTTCCACGGGAAACTCCAAGGTACAATAGCGGTTGTTGTCAATCATAGGATCTGTCAGGAAAGAATTATGTGGCTGACAGGGCCAGAAGCTCTAGACAACTTGGTAAAGCATGAACAAGACCCAGGAAGGAAGCATAGATAAGGCAGACTAAGGACAGCAAGGGAGGAAAGGAGGAAGGAAGAAGCCCACACCCCTCCAGTCAGAGGACAGCCATAAAAGGACCTACCTCTGTTGGGATGGCTGAAGGTGAAACAGGGCTGGGGTGCAGACAGCTGGTGAAAGTTGTGCAGCCGTACCACATAAGGCATCTCAAACTGTGCCTGTCAGAGAAAGAGAGACAGAGAGAGACAGAGTGTGTGTTGGGGAAGACAGACAAAAGATACCTTCTCCCCCAAGGATTAAAAAAACTTTTACTTCAGCACTTCCCTGATTCCTAACTTCTTCTTTGCCTTTTCATCCCCAGCAGAGGAAAACAGTTGATGCAAATACAGAAAAATAAGAGGACTAAAGAGTACCACTCTTTCCAGAGAGAGTGGTTCTTTACCTCAGGGTCACGGTCCTTCTCCCTACAGGCTCGGACCTCATTGTACAGTTTGGAGGAGGAGATGGGAGCCAGGAAGGAAGTATACTCCCCGGGGATGCTCACACCGTCATCTGCATAGCAGGAAACTCAAATTAGTTCCAGAGGGAGGGAAATGGTATGTCTGTACTAACTGAAGGATCAAACCTCCCATGTCAAACTGACCAACGTTGGCATGGGCATGGAAGAAAGGCAAACGCATGTTGTCACATTACTAAGCCAGCCTGCTTCTAACTACTGTCAGGGAGGATTCTACTTTTAGGTTAATTTACAGAGTCACAGATTAAAACTGAAAGAACCCAAGAGTCTCAACTGGTGGTCCTTAACTTTTGTGGCGTCACAAAGTCCCACAGAAGTTCCTGATGAAAGCTAAGCTCTGGGTATATATGTTAGCTCAAGGAGTCCACTCCCCTCATTTTTTTTTTGAGACAGAGTCTCGCTCTGTTGCCCAGGCTGGAGTGCAGTGGCACTATCTCGGCGCACTGCAACCTTCTCCTCCAGGGTTCAAGTGATTCTTGTACCTCAACCTCCCAAGTAGCTGGGATTACAGGCACACACCACCACACCTGGCTAATTTTTTTTTTTATTTTTAGTAGAGATAGAGTTTTGCCATGTTGTCCAAGCTGGTCTCGAACTCTTGACCTCAAGTGATCCATCCACCTTGGCCTCCCAAAGTGCCAGGATTACAGGTGTGAGCCACTATGCCCGGCCCACTCCCCTCGTTTTACAAATACGAACACTAAAGTTTGGAGAGATGGCTTCATTTGCTAAGGGCAGAGACAGTGGAGCAGCTCTCAAACTCATATGATCTGACCAAGGTCCAACCCACTTTCCCCTAAATCCTCTACCCTCCTCCCACCTTGCTTCCTCACCCATCATCACCCTCCACATATACCCCAATCTGGGGGCACCTTTTAGGAAGTGCTGGGCTCCATCCAGGCATTCAGGTGACAACTCATTGTCAGCAAATGAGCCCAGAAGTTCACTGACAATGATGTCTGCTTTCTCTGGAGCCACCCATTCCCTCATGTCTGATGAGACTACGGTCACCTGGCTTCCCCATTCTTCAAACTGCCAGTTTTCTAGCCTGAAACAAAGATAATAAGGTGAGGATAGATGTTAAGGAAACTTGGCAATGGGGACTAACTTCCCAGCAAGCAGGTGCTACTCACGTCACCACAGCATTTGGGTTTTTCTCCACAGCATACAGCTTTATCCGCCGGTCAGCCTGCTTGGCTGCCCGCAGGGAAGCGTTCACCAGGGGACCCCGTCCTGCTCCCAGCACCATCAATACCCTAAGAAAAAAAGGGGAAGAGTCAAACAGCCTTGGCATATATAGATGTAGGTACGCAAGTCCCTGGGATTGAGGGGAATCACTCACTGGACA